GCCAAATACGGTTTTTGGCTTTGGTGGAGTATTTGGCCAAAAACCGTATATGGTTTCCAGCCGAACGGGCCCTTAAATCTGGTGATGAGAAAACTTTTCAAAAATCTGCCAGTAGATTTCAATACAACAGCTGTACTTTTTGTTTAATTTCAAGTGATCAATGGAAGAACACTTGACTTTTTGTTTACCAAAACAGACCAAAACATGGGTTCAGGGATTTTGGTTGGACATATCAGTCTGAATAAGATCAGAAATATGTATGAACTCAAAGTGAACTATGTAACTCATTTATGGTACTCAAAACCACTAGGTTCAAGCCACCTTTTTCAAAAAATGTGAAAAACATAGATTCAAAGTTGATCTTTTTGCAGGGGAATTCCTGGGAATTCTCTGGAACTTTTTTTTTGGAGTTCTGTACGGTTCATTTTCTCCGCAAAAACAACATTTTGAAAGCAGGTTTTCAAGAAAGGTAGCACGGACCTAGTCGTTTTGAGTACCGTAATTGGATTTGTTAATGTGTTCTGAACTTCTGCTTAATGTTGTTTAGACTGTACATATGTTGTGAGCGTAGATGTCTGTGCGTCTTTCACTAGGATACACACATATGTGACATATTAGATAGTTGTTAGTCTTGTGCCGATGTGGGAAGAGCAAGGTCCCTTCGTTACTCTACGACTTGAGGATCTTGACTAACCTTGTGCCTCGTATTCCCATCGGCACACTATAGTATCAACAGGATTGGTTCTTGAATGATTTCTTTTTGAATAGGAATATCAATAAGTTATAACTAGAACTTGAGTTGGATATATTACCGATTTCCTTCAACCAAATCATCAATTTTCCATCTCATCCATCCTTTTCTTTTTGGAAAAAGATCTTAAGAGCATCTCCAACGGTGCCTTGTAAACGTAACGATACGTAAGCTGTATGTTACGTTTACAGGGCTGGGTCAAAAAACGACCCTCCACCGGTCGGCAGATTTCTCACCTCTGGCCACTCGTGTGAAGTTTGGTTTGAGGGATACTGGGTATTGCATGTCAAGACCTTCATCCATGAAGGGCTTTCGCAAAAGATGCAGGAAGCAGTATTGGTGACGTTTAGGACATAATCATACCACATGCGTCCAAAGATAAATATGATAATCGAAAGAAATTACATATCAAGTATATAGTCAATGAGATATCAGTCAACTTTTAAAAGGAATATCGTGCGCTTTTGGCGTTTTTGGCAGGAGCACGACCTTGGAAGTCCCTCCATCATGTGCGCGGTGGAGGGAAATCATTTTAAAGAAAAAATACAGCTTACTGTATGTTTTCAGACAAGCCTGTACGCCTTTTGGTGATTCAGGACCGTTGGAGATGCTCTAAGCCAGAGAATCCGCTGCTCAATGGAATCCGTGAGCCTCGTTGTATCGTGAGCGTGAGTCTGGCACAGTAACGCAGTGAACATGTAATAAGATTGACTGTCCGACGGGTCGGAAAGTCACACGCCCGGATTGGTAGACACTGTCACATACGGTACCTAAATTTACCTCTGACATTATCTCATCACCCCGTTCTCGCCATTCCTACTCGTCCATCAACAACCAACAAAGCAGAAGTAAGGGCAAAGCATTAACCCGGTCAACTCAATCACAGATCAAGGACACGGATGTACAAAGCAAACCCTTTCCCGTTCCTTTAGACGGATGTAACTAGATGTAACTGTAACGTACTTACGCATAGCCCATTCAAAGAAATATATATGCATTTCGTTTTATATGACCAAAACCAATGGACAGTGTTACACAGTTCATGAATCACAAAAAAGAGGCATTAAGCATAAATGCCAAACAAATGACCACCAGGCAGGGTCACCAGCGCTTTGACAAAGCTTAATGATCCACTTTGGTATTTTCAGGGTTACTTACGGCTGGTCAATGACCGAACCAATCACATAAGCACGGCACAAAAACATGCTTAGCGACACTCAAACGGTTAACATTTACCATGCTATGATGATGATAGATATAATCAAGCACAATTGATACCGCACTAAGAAGGTACAAAGTACATAGACTGCACGGAAAAGCATTAATCTTCACCAACACATCCAGTTTTAATTCTGTCCTCCATTGGGTTCATTTATTGCCTTCAGCCACCCACCTCTTCATTCGATCATTCCATCCTGATTTTTTCTTTAAATTTTACTACGAGTTTTACTTTGCTTTAATCTATCTTTCAAACTTCCTTTGTTTTTGAATATTCTGCTCAATCGCCTGACATTTATCGCCTAACTTTTATCGGTTTACTTTTATTGCCTTACTTTCATCGCCATCATAATGCTTGTCAAGGATTTGATGAAAGATTTATCCGAGTTGACACCAACCATCCACGACAGCCTGACGGTCAGTCAGCTTTGCAACTTTGGTGCGCTTGCGGCAGACTTTTTGAGACGAACCGATCAGAGTTATGGACCCGCATGTGACGAAGGCCCTATCGCATTCCTTACACATTGTCTCGACCCAGATCAGCCCTCAACTACATGGGCTCAACTATGGTACTTGGTGTACCCTGATTTGAGAACCTGCGGTCACAACACCTCCCAATTCTACCAACATGGCATTCCTTCCGAATCACGTGCTACGAACGCCATTATCATTCCAGAGCACACCATCAGTCCTCCTACCTCTGTTTGCTTCACATGCGTTGATGAAGACAACTATGACAAGGCCCACCCACTGGAGATGCGGCGCCAAATTTATGGGTACATGTACGACATTGGTGGTGTTGAAACTTTGCAATATTTCTCGGCGTATTGTCGCAGTAAATCCATTACACCAAACTTCATAATGAGTATTCGGATACTGACTAAGCACATCCCTACTGTTACAGGTTGCAATACCACCTACACGCCCTGCTATATGTGTCGTGGTGATTATAGAGAATATTATACAAAGGAAGAAGGACAGCCCGAGGACTACTTTCAAGTCGGCCAGCACTATTTCATGACTCACAAACTTGCAGACTACCACAACCATCTCCAGATGCTTGGAAAGTAAGTAAATTTATTTTCACAAAACTCGAAAACATCACAAAACCAATGCTGTGGTACATGTAGGGTGTCTATCTACAACTTGGTCAACGCCTACAATCAATCACATGCTCAATTTCACACAATACACCCGAACGATTTTGCAGAGCCCACTCACACTCGGCCGCTAAGTGAGGAAATCTGCTCAATGGGCCTTGACATACATCGCCTGATGTTCAGCTACAACAAGCGCAAACTTCGTTTGCAAAGCGACGCCCATGGAGACGACTCTCGACGATTTTTTGGCGCTATGGAGAACCATACGGCATGGCTTCATCACGAAGGATCGGATTTTGCATCTCATATCTGTTCTGTTTGTACCAAAGTGGAAGTATCTCCCGAAAGCGAAGAAGGTACCAGTACGTACCTTTACTTTCAGCCTCGACTCCCCCGTGCATCCAGCTGAATTCTTCTCATTTGATGTTATCCACAGTCATACGAGCCCTAGTGACAGACGGAATCACAATAGGACACTGGTCCTGCAGCGTCTCCGAAGTCCAACTCAAGGCTCTAGACCCCGAGTGGCCTATGATCTACTGCGACATATCTCTCGAAAAGGTGACCGATCGATACTGCTCTAGACATCAAGAGCTGCTTAACGACCGGTGCCAAGCTCAACCATGCGTTGAAAAAGTTGTTCCCGGTTCAAAGACTTGTAAAAACCTGGAGCATCAAGCTGCGTACAAGGATTTTCAAGACCAAAATAGCTCTCTCTTTGGATTACCTCGCAAGTTCAATCGACCAAACACCCGCATCCAAATCAATCCTACCGACATGCTTTCGGCAAGAACTGGCGAAATCACTGTTGGAGAAGAAGAGATGATGTACGCTGAGGTTGAAGAGCGCAAACATGAGGCCGCACGTGACGGCGGCGAGAAGAGCGCAGGTTCTAAGAAAATCTTGCTATCTCGGCAAAGATCCCACAATGAACAGTTTATGGTTGCTTGTTGCGGAGTTATAGCCGCCAGGAAAACTTTCTTCAAATCAGAATTGGTGCCCAAGGTAAAGGTGAGTACTTTGTAGTATCTGCTTCGCATTTACCTTCCTTTCTATACGTTTTAATGAAAATCTTCTCATGGTTTTGGTGGTATATTTGAAACAGGAGTTCATCAAGGAGACGTTCCCCGAGGAAATGCCGCAAGTCATATTTTATGACAATGCGTGTGGTCTTTATGCACACATCCACAATAACCCAGAAGATTCGGAACGATTCCGCCATAACTTACTCCCAGTCGACACATTCCACATCAAATCACACAAAGAAACCCACACGACTTGTTGGGAAAACAATGATCCTCACATTTTCCCGGAACTGAAGACATCTGACGGCAAGAAATGGCGATTCAACGCGTCTGCCGCCGAGATAGTCAACGCGTGTTTTGGTAGGTTTGATTCCATCTTGCGTAACATGCATGCAGTGCGTTATAATTTCTTTTTGGACGAGATGATTCGCCTTCACAATGTGCGGCTGTGTGATCAAATCAAACAGAGGGAGAACGTCAAATTTTTAGGCAATGTCGATTATCGCACCACCCCGTTGTAATTTTCCTCTCTCCTCTTTTACTTTCATATTATTTTACTGTTATCTTACTTAATTATCCTTGACCGGTTCCTACGTTTCTCTCACTATGTGATTGGTTCCTATGTTCTAACACCAGCATGACCCCCTGATTTCGTCTCTAAGTGTCGTATTTTATTTTCATATCACTCATTGAATGCAATTTTTATTGGAGAGTTGGAGAAATTGAAAATAACAACACGATTAATGAGTAAATCATTATAATTTTGAAATAAATGGAAAATCTAACTATGAGTGGAGTGTGAGAGCGATAAATTGATGAATACATTTTTTGGTTTGAAAGAAATGGATTTGAGATAGTGTGATACAAAATGTGCAACACTCCACTGCACTTTAACATCACCAGTTACTAATTGTCATTCACTCTTTCCATATCTAGTTTCTCGCAATAGATGTTACATTTATGTTGGTACTCAAAATGTATAAATGCATTCTCAATCGTTTCGGCACATACAAGGGTTTTTTGACTGGTTAATCAATATCATCGTACATAGTTAGTTTGGATTTGCTATTTCTGAAATAATGTAATTATTAAAATGTGACTGAACTTACCTTCGGTTATAGCAGACTATGTTGGACAATTTACCTCGAACATCACAGTCTATTTGGGTGATAAGTGTGTTGCCACCACTGACATGGTACGAGTAATGTACCAGGCCGTGAATCACAGCTTTCCATGGATCGGTATCACGGATACCGTCGCCACCAAACGTATATTCATTGACGTAGCGGTCATGCTCGCGGCTCGTTGGAGGGCCACACACATACCAACCCGGGTCATTACTTTGCAAAAACCCAATAGCTTGGAAAATAAATAAGTTGTTAACCTGCATATTCATGACATCAAAAGGTTTAACTTACATAAAATGTTGTAGAAGCATGATATGGAGATTTATTACCTTCAAAGCAAGGGATTTGGTATGCAAGTCCTGAATGTCAATACATTCCTCCTCTCCGGGGTGTCGATGTGTCATCCAGCGGTTCATGAGACTATCTTGATAGTCAGTCAACAAATTTGCCACATAGCGGTTAGCTTGAACAAATGCAAGAGCATGTGATCTTGAGTTTGATTTGGAGTCGTCACACCAAGCAGTATGATATCTGGCTGTGACCGTTGATTCGAAGCCGTCCCGTTCACATTTATATTCTTTTGCTATCCATTCGTTGGAATCCCTGGTACCATACAAGTCTATGTCTTTGCCAATAGAATAAACTACCAGATAGCGGGAATATCCATCAAGGTTTTCCGGTACATATATATGTGGCTGAACATATATATGTCTTCGATACTTATACATGAAGGCGGCTCGCAACGTGTTCTCATCATCTATAAGTTTGAAAGTATTAGTAAGTGTGCAAAGAAGACCCACATGTAATAAACAAAAATAATGACAACGTTAAGTAAAACAATAATCACTCAACCAAAAGGTTTAGAATATCTCATTGCATCATGAAACCAGCCGGGCATTCCCCTGTGCGGTACACTTTCGAATCCACTTGACATCAGTCGCAAGGGCGCGCGGGGAGGTGTGACATTTGCAGAACCCACAGTGGGGGTCGTATCGGTCTGATCGGTTTTCTTTGACGGCAGTTGATCGATTTGGGAAGTATCGACTTCAGTCTTCTTGTCATCCGGAGGCACCGAGTGTTGCAACACATCGCCTTCGCCGTCTTCCGTCTTGTGGACGACAGAAATACCGGCGAGTTGGTCCACTGTAGATGTTGACAAACCCCTAGCGTCGATTTGTGAAACAGATGAAGCTGCCGTCGTAACAGATCTACAACATTATGAAGAAGGTCAGCACATAAGTATACTGACGTCAAATTCGCGTATTGACTTGCCTATGATTGTCTACCATAGTGCAGCCGTCTTCCTCAGCTGGGGCCGTAGAAGGCGGAGTTGACGTAGCGTATTTTGCAGATGATCGAGTGCGGGATGGCATTTCGAAATGAATCTAGGACGAGATTGTCGTCAATAATTGGACGAAGTAAATATGAGGACCATAAGTATTTACAGTACGTATCTAGATGTTATTGAATAATTTATGAACGGCAATGATCGAACAGATGAAGAACAGATGGAATGAATATTTTATGAATGTTGATGTTTGAACAGATGAAATGATCAATGTCAATTATTATATATAAACGCGATGTAAAATATTGATATAGAGGTTGAAGGGTTTAAGTGAAATGGTATCGATTGTGTCTCAGAAGTTTATAACAACTTTTGCTACCAATCATTTACGATCACTGGGAAAAACTGCTATCTGAATATTCCCGGATCACCAAGCGTCTGATTATATATACCGCGATGTCCGTAAGGGCTATCAAAGCCATCCGATCACATCCGATCGCTAGTTTTTCCATTTTCCCGATACCAAGTGAGTGATGTGAGCCGCATTGGGATCAAGCCGAACTTACCCAACTGACATATGTGCAAGCTATCCGGCTACATATGGCATTGCTTGACCATGTATAATATATATAATATATTGTCACCTTTGTTGGGGTACAATACCAGTTACACTGGCGAGTTGAATTAGACTGGAAGTGATTTATCTGCAATTCTATCAAACACATGGTTGGTAGTATTGGGACATGTATTGAAAAAAATTGGTTGCACATAACATATAGCAACAGCACGATATGATTATTTGCAGGATCAAGAAACGTAATTACAATACAATAAACAGTGAGGAACACATACTGAATAGGAGTAAAAATCGACCATGGGGTCTGCCTATGTTTGTTACAATTGATTCAAGAAAGATAAAAGAAAAGTTCGCCTTAAATTAATAAGAAAGGCAGTTACATACACACACATGTTCAATGAGATCGCGAGGAAGAAAAGATAAGCAATGACTATTGACCACATAACAATAAAGCAAGGTAAAGAGTTTATAATGACAGAAAATATAAATAATACAACTAGAGCTTGACTTGCTTGACCGGCTTTGCATTGTCAAAACGCGAGTCTGTCCGCCTCCACTCGGCAAGGAAATGATTCTGGCGAGCGTTGGCCACTTTCATATTGCTGTTGCGAGCTACAAACGGTGCAAGTCGATTTTCATGGTCAAGGTCTTCGCACCATCTTACATAATGCGATATAGTGGATGTGGCATATGTAAATCGAGTTCCAAATACAACATCAAAAGCTTCTTTGTTATTCAGCTTTTGCGGTCCATCAAGAGTAAGGAGATATAGACGTGACAATTCAGCCATGGTGGCGACATTAGACCACATTGGTCCTTGCCTAGATCGTTTACGCTTTGCCGGTCGTATGTTTGATGAGTCGTTGCCATTGGTCAAGGTACTACTACTGCCTATATCAATAGACGGAGAGCGTAAACGCTTGTTACCTTGGTGTGAGCCTGATTGGAGAGGTGGTCTTGTTGAGGAGTCCGTTGGAATGTTGTCGTCGGGAGTTTCGCTGGGTTGAGTCGGAGTGCTTTGGTCCCGGCCACGTGGTGTAATCTGCTGACTAACAGGCTCAGGTGGCGTCACCAGATTGATCATCCTAGCCTTGCCTTTGACCTTGTTTTTAGGTGTCACTGATTCTTTGCGCTGTATAAAAGCGGCCATGGTCATGCTAGCCTTCCTGTCGCCTGTGGAAACTGACGCTAAGTGGCGGTCGACGTCGTTGCATTCAGATGGGTCGAGACCGGGGAATACGACCAAAATCTTGCGAATCTTTACTGGGTAAGTAACTACGATGTCCATCGACGTGTGAAGCTGGTGGTTGGAATGCGTGCAATGTTAAAATTAAAAATTCAGTTCTCAATCGGGGTAAAGTCGATTATGGAGAGAGATAAACAAGAGGAACATACCCATAGTTGGTTATCCTCATTCCAAACTTGCAATTTGGCTTTTGGATTCGCACCTAGCTGCTGAGCAACTAGTTCATTGATCTCGTTGCATTCGGCCAAACAAAAATCTGGCCAGCTCGCGGCGTGCGCCCAGCCTCCCCAGTATCCAAGAGGGTGTTCCTGTAAAGCAAAGTTTCGTTTCCAAGGGTAAGCAACTTAATCAACTGATACATAAAGTGGTGTTAGGTGGAATTCTCACCTCCGAGCCCGCCCAGACGACCAATGCAATGGTCTTGCTTGCAGTCTCAGCCTTCGCTGTGCGCTTCCGTGCTGCGGCTTTTTGCTCTAAACTCATTCTCCTATATTCGTCGAGGAAATCGGTTTGCACTTTCCCTTTATACTTTCTGACACCGTTGCTTCGTCCTCCCTGAGTTATTGCTAGAGGAGCCTTTGGCTGTTCACCAGGTTCTGCAACGGATGGTGATGAGATAATGTCGATGATGTTCCGGTTAGGTAGTGAGGGAATAATTGACACCCTTCCGTTCTCTTCGATTTCCTTCTGTTGTCGCTTGGCCATCGAGTTGTGCTTGGGACATGGGGTGAGACCGGAAGTGTTGAGTGCCAAACAACACTGAGGAAGTTAATGATTTCATTAACTTGAACATCATTCATCAAATCTAGTTACTTTAACTTACGGCTTTGCAAGCGTTGACGGGACATCTCTCATTCTTGCGGGTTTGATGGCCTGCAGCGATATGACCATTTACTCCCTTGCATTCAAGTGAAGAGTTGTTCGCAGTGCCTGCAGGACTTCGTTCCGTAGTGGTGCTGGTGGACGCCTGAGTAGCAGGGGGAGTAGGTGGGGCATTCATGAGCCGATGGATTTCCATAAAATCGTTGGTGGTAACACTGTTGTTGATGACAGTGGCGGCGGAATCAACTACTCGTCGATTTAGCAAGCGGAGTTGCTCTTGAAAATGTTCAGTGTTGTAGGTTCGAAGCAATCCGTCTTTGCTGGAGTCAATTGGGCACTACAACAATGGAATCAAGTTTAGTTGTTTTCATGATAGTTATTTTGAAAAACCTTGCAAATGAGATAAATAAAAAACTTTACCTTGACGCCAGTTAAATGCTTATGTTGGGATTTAAAGTACACAGTCGAATGGGTAGGTCTTGTCCTGCAAGACTTCGATTTGCAGACCAAACCTGTCTCTGTTCCTGAGGTAAGAGGAGGGTACGGGACACGTCTATAGGGGTTGATCGCCGTGAGGTTGTAATTGGGGACTTTCTTCTCAGGCATTGGAAGGAGGTTGATGATTCGTGCAAAAATATGGGCTATCAATATATATATTGCATGGATAAAAGCAGTACCCTGGTTGCCTCGAGGATCTTCTACATCGCCTTTCCGTCCTTCACCTCCCGTGCCCGTGCTCATATCATCACATTCTTCTTGGCCAGTGCTGGCCTTCGTTGCGCGGAAGATGTTGAACATCTTCATACCTTGGGTTAATCGTTTAGAGAGTGATTGCTAGGATGGATGTCTGAAGATCCCTTTGGGAATGGCCTGCGAGTGTCATTACAGAAGCGGGATGGGTATGTTCGGACGTGTATTGCCTCATCCGAATCGGGGATATGATATAAAAAAAGTTCTACCTGTATCACTGCGATACTTACAGAGAGCGCTCACTGCCCACCGATTTGGTGAGCCTCCCGGATTCCATTGATCTCCTGGTACTCTCCTCTAAGCACAGCAATCCAACTAATCACTTGGCTTTACTGTCAGACTCACAAGCTGTTTAATTTGATAGATTACACTTCAAAGCCAGATTCACTGACGAATCAAAGATTGGATCATACATGATGAACATTGGCTTACTACACCGATGGCTTATTGCTATCAAATTCGATTTCACACTCTCAACGCAACGCAAGCACGGCGGACAGCGGGATGAGAAGAAGCTCATGATGTCACTCTTTATCACAAAATGGCTTAAGCAGTTGGATCCCGCCACACATGCAGAGACCCGAAAGATGAGACCGATCATAAGTTCATCTACCTAAATTGATTCTTTGTTATCTACATAGACGAATGCAGTTTTGTACATGGAATTTGATAACCCACATTAGCTTCAGTAGCCTATATGCATTCAAATTTTGTCATCTTTGGTATAACCGATATGTATGTACGTCCTACATCATCATCTTCATGAATGAAATCCTCGCGATCATAAAACATCAATGTAGCATGCGTGTTAAGGGTTTTGTTTGAGCTGCTTGAACTAAAGGGAACAGTTCTGACGGTTCTTGAAGCATTGCAGATGTATACCAGTTCTTAATTACTTTTTAAACATTTACTTGTCAAACCTCAGAGTCAGATGATATCATTTCGAAAGATAATCTTGAGGTCTCACATCCACGGTCATTTGATTCCCTTTTTATTGATCTATCCTTAAGACTGCTCATTTTTCTGCGATCATTCAGAACTCGTTTGTCTATAGGTCTTCCTTCACTACCTTCTCCAGTTGCAGAATTCATTCCTTGATTTTTTGTCTAATCGATTTCAGAACTTTTCGTATCCTTTGATCTGTTCTTTCGATTGCAAAGTGATTGTTTGCATCAAGATTTGCCAATCAAATCCGAAATTTTAATTTTACTAGCAGGGAGTTTTAAGAGGTAAAATACCTAACATATTCACTACAAAAGCCCTTCATCAAAAGATTGTAAGTTTTTAATCAACTTATCCTCTTACAAAAACTTTTTTTCGAGACAAAAGAAATCAATCTTTGGCTGTGAGAAGTAATGCTGAGATATGGTTTGTTGGGCTGTTTAGAAATTATTTACACAACCTCATCAAAGAATTACCATTTTAGCAATATGTTATCAAAATTAATTTTAGGATTCTGCCTATGGATTCCTTCTCATACCTACGCCGCTCTATTGCAATTCCACGCGACATCGAGTGTAGCACACACATCTTCAGATCTCAGCGAAGCTAACGCACCAGCTGGTGCTGTTTCTGCAATCACCTGGAGTCCTGGAACAATGACGATGACCGAGAGAATGACAGAAGGCGCGCAAGCTGAAAGAACCCAAGATGAATTAACCCACGACGCTTTATTGGTAGATTTCGACCAAGATGTTCATACTGGACAGGTCCCAAATATGGCAACCTTAAGGAGATTGCTTCGTCAATCCACTGAAATCTCACCTAGCCCGGGCCAGGGCCAGACCGATCTTCATGCACCAAATTTAGTTGGAATGAGAAGATACAGTTCAGAAGAACTCTATCATATCGAACAGAAAGCTAAACAAATGAAGAATGGGTTTGATTACACATACTTACCAGATGGTAAATTTCTAAGAAACCAAAAGACCATGTGGGATGTTCATGGATTCGGTGGAAGGATCAGAGTTTATGATTACGAAGATCATGAGTTATTATATCAAACAGATTGTTGTTATTGTAAAGGTCAGAAAAGAGATTGGGATGATCTGACGACTGGAGAAGCTTGGTTAGAGATTGCTGCTTATGGATGTGGTGGGATAGCTTGTGGTGCATTGACTTTTGCAGTCAAGATGATGTGTGGACTCTAATGAATACCTGGCATCAAATCATAACTTTAATATATTCAAAGAAATAACTCACTAATTGGACCATGGAACAAAACCAATTGTGCAAGTGCATACTACTTCAACATTTCCTAACACAGTATATAGCAAATTATTGAAATGGAAAAAGCCAATATTGTAACATAGCTAAAGAATTGAGGATAGGAAATGTCAGAGTCGAACAGTAAAGATTGTTTAATTCACCAATTATGGAACATTCTTATTTCTTCTTGTGATAAAATCTTATTTATTCCTTCAATCTTGAACCTTGATGTCAACATCCACTGTTTTGAATAATACCTATATACCTTTTGGATTCTTCATGATCAAATGATGATCTATTATCAAATTGCAGATTCAGATGAATCAGTTTCAACTTGCATCATCTGTCCTGGGATGACCATGGATTAGATTGCTCGGCTTCTCTTATATATCAATAGGCTTGACTCTTTCAATGAATTCTTACTGACCACAAACTCTACGAGATCTATTCATGTCACGTCTTGGTCAGTCTAATTTGATACTGATGGTATTCAAGTTTTGTGAAATGAGTGCCATAAAATCAGTACCACATTATTGGATATTAAACCAATGAGCCTACTTGTTAGAGCTCAATCAGTTTATCTGCTCAATGATCTAACAGTGGGCACCAAAAACCTAGTATTTTTCCATCACCACAAAAAGAGCAAAATTAACATCTTTTATTACTTGAGAGTCTGATGGAATTTGAAGTGAAAGAAGACTTAATAAACATATCATAAAACGTCTTTTTTGGGGGGTGTATACATTTTGATGGTAGAAAGAAGTCACAAATCATCATGAACAATAATTCCCAAGACTATAAAAATGAGATTGTTATCAAAAAGAAAGAAGAGGGTATGATCTCCGAATGAAGATCATACAAAAACTCAATATGATAACTTTAATCTCATATCTATATAAGCTTCAGCCGTGATTGGACCATATTTTTTAGGATCATGAGTAGGATGAAAACAAGTTTCTAAACAATCAATCAAAGTACCTCGATCAGGTCCACAAAAAAATGAAATCAAATAACGTTCAGGAATAAGATTGGTTTCACTCAATGGAAGACTAACTCTATGTAAAGGAGATTTAAAATGATCATTTGTCCATCTCATCAAAAGATCACCTACATGTAAGATCACCGTATTAGGGATTGAAGGAATCGGATTGAATTGATTAGGTTTGAATTGATCTTCGATTTCTAATCCTGATTGTTGATCTTGAAAAAGGATAGTAAAAGTAGAAAAATCAGTATGAGGACTGAATCTATTGATTGATAAGTTATGATCGTTTTTGATGATTGAAGGATAATGTGATAATCTGATTTGATTATCAGCTTGGATATGAAAGTTTGATAAATAATCTTGATGTTCAATCCCAAGTAAAGAGATTGATATAGCTTCAAGTAATTGATGTTCAAATTCATAACATTCTTGATAAAACTTTTTGAAAAAGTCTTGCATTCCATTCAAATGATAATCTTTTTCAATTGGATCAGGTAACCAAAGGTTTTGAAGTGAAGGATTGGATTGAAAATTAAATTTTCCTAAATCAAACGTTTCACGTTGATCATCTGGTTTTGATCGATTTGATTTGATTGAAATAGGATTCTTTAAATCATTTTGTACCACTTTTTCAATTCCGATGGCTGAGTAACCTCTATTAATACTACCATCGATCGGATGTGATACTTTTTGTTTAATTTCAAGTGGTAAATTGAAAAACTTTTGACTCTTTGTTTACCAATACCAAGAACAGATCATGAAAGAGATGAGCAAGTGATTTGTTTGATTGTCTAGATAGATAGAAATTCATGAGATGTAAGATGTTGTTACTTACCCATTGGAATGCATCTTGAATGGTTTGATTTTGAATAGGAATCTCTGTTAAATAAAGATAACCAAAGTTGTTGAGTTGATGATTGATTTGATTTGATAATTTGATTTTAGATTGAATTGAAGTTGATGGATTATGAAAAGTTGAGAAATCGATAATCTTGTTTGGATTCATGATTCGAATATTTTCAATTCAAGTTGATGAGGTAGTCTTGAATGCGCTTTCGAAAGCATTCTTGAATAGTTTGATTGGTTTTATATTTTTTCATCACTGGCTCATGATCACTAATCTTGGCTGTGTTTGATTGCTCAAGCTGTGAAATTGGTCATTTGGATCAAAAGCCAGATTGAACTTGAAGTTGGCTTACAACTTGAATGAGAATGATCAAAGTGATTAACACTGGCTTAACAATTCTGATCAGCTGATTTTTTATTATCTCACTTGGAAATCATTGTATCTTGACTGAGATACTGCCACTTATAACACTGCTGACTGAAGTATATAGGCTCGATGAAGCCATCCTACCAAATTTTCAAGGGCTATAGAAATTCTTTTGCATTTTGAAACCAAGTTGCCAATCGATTTACCTTCAGCTCTTTACCAAAACACTTTCTGTTCCTTTCATTTTGGGTTTTGAGATTACGCTCCGTCAGTTCGACTTCAGTGATCTCTTTACCGAATGAAGCTTTGAATCATTATCTGATCACTATCAGGCTATAAATTAGGGTATACAAATATGTTCTGGGAATTTCCAGAAGGTTTTTTCCAGAACGCCAGAACCCTTCTGGCATTCGGGAAAACACAATCCAAAATCTGCAGCCGTCTGGATCAAGTGATCGACGGTGATCCCCCACCTTCAGCCAACCAAGCAGCCCTCACAAAAATCCAATCGTCACACCGTTGGCCTTTGACTTTCAAAACCTCGGCCCTTAAGATTTGAAGCAGGTTTTTAAATGTATTTTCATCTTAAGAGGGATTCATCGGTTTCAATTTGTGTTTGTTTCTTAGTTTTCAAATGTCTCTCAAAAGGAAACGAGATCTTCAAGTGCACAAAATCAATCGATGCACAGTCTTGTTTTGTATCCTTTTTGAGATTTCTTCAGTCTCACTTGACTTGGTGTTAAGCTGTAAATATGTACCTTTTTGAATTGAAATGATTGTTGTTAATCGTGTTTTGAGTTTTTAAAACGATCATTGTTGATCTCGTTTGATTTGTCAATTTCAGACCGCTTTTCAAACTAATGAGATCATTGTTTCCGAACCAATCTCTTTGAAAACCATGTTAGTTACCTACTTGAAAGCTTTGCTCTTCATGTTGACTGTCTTTGTGATTTGTCTGAAAACCGACTTCACGAAGAAGTTGAACATTAATTGAACTCCTCAGAAATTTGATTTCAATTCTCTAATCGACTCGAAGATCTTTTCTCGACAGATGTTCGAGTCGATTAGAGAAAAATGTTGTATCTCAAATGTCTAATCGACTCGAGGATTCGAGGTGAGAGTAGTGAATCGTGATGAGATGAAGTAGCTGATGGTGATGTGATTTGGTGCTGAGGTGAGTAGGGATGAGGGGTGAGCTGGTGGAGTTGGGTTGTGTTCACGGGGTTTCTGGCATTCTGGAAGTGTGGTGCATTCAAATTTGCTGAATGCCAGAACGCCAGAACACACCAAAAAAAAAACTTCTGGCGTTCTGGAAAAAACCTTCTGAAAATTCCCAGAACATATTTGTATACCCTAAATGTTAAGATACCGCTGGCTGGTATGATCGTGTGATTCAGTACAGTCCTTTTCTTCATTCTCAGTTCTCAGTGATCATTTCTTTCGTTTTCATCCTCATTCTTAGCCTTCGATGTATCAAAAGATTTTTTTTCGGCGGTCCATCTGGTTCTCCCGGCCTATGAACAAAACAAAAGCCAAAATATCTGACACACGGGTGGCGTTCCTTTAGTTTACCTTTTGCTTTTCCTCATGCCGGTGTGATGTTCAGCCCCTAAAGCCCAGTCATTGAAACCGTGTGTTCACGAATCAAATTCAAGAATTTATAGATATTAAAAGGCTACTTCTAGACTACCTTTCAGAGCTCATTTCTTCTCTAACCATTTTTTCCTAATCAAATCTCACTCTTTTGACCACTCTATTGTGTTTTGAAATATCTTCTTGCTCTCTTGCTGAGCCTGTACTCCAAGATGATTCACATCTCCTTTAAGATTTGTTTTATAATCTCTTGTCTATTGGTTCATTGCCTAAAGGCTAATCAGGACCAGCATGTTACAGTTCAGTGTAATGGAGCCTTTGCAATTCCTGACTCGAAAACTGGTGGTATGTGATTTCATTAAAGTTGTTTCTTTTCCTTATCCAATCTCTAATGACTATAATCTCAAAGAATCACTAAAGTAAATATGTCTTTTGATCGATTATATTCCTATAGTATGTCAACAGGAAATTCCTAAAAAGAAAAAGTATAGTTGTGATCTTTCAAGTTGTTCACTTAACTGTAAGGATCTTTATAAACATTTTCTTATCATCATACTTTGATCTTATCTTCACTATAAAACTAATTAAATTGATCTGTTTGGTTGACTTCATTTAAGCTCATCTTTGGGTCCCGATGAATAATTGTCAACTTTTTCAATCACCTATCAAAGATTTCAGTAATCAACAATGTAGAGAATATGCTTGGACTGGATACGATTATGGTAAGGATCTTAAAGTTTTAATAATCCTTTTTTTTTCCAAAGTCTTCATTTCGGTTGATCATTCGATTTCGAAATCTTCTTTAGATTGTATTAATCCCGGTACATATAAATATACGTGTCCTTATACTCCTCAAAATATACCTTCTATGAGTCAGTGATCGATTTCTTTGCTCGATCAGAAAAAAAATCCTTTAACTGACATGGATTTGTCTTCTATGACATAGTTTGTAGATATTGCTTGGAAGTACCGTTAGGAATCTTATGAAGAAAAATCTTCATGATTAGTTTATGGTCTTCTTGATCACTTGGTCAAAAAGTTGACAAGAAGTTAACCCTCCTGTCCGGAAGAAGAACTTCTTACTAATTAGAGCATTGGTGGCTAGATGATGAAAACCTTGCTTCCTTTTAGCATTCGAAAGAGTTTGTTTTTGATAAAATTTCTTATTTATTAAATCGAGATGTGAAATTTAATTCACTGATCTCTACTAAATCCAAGTGAGAGTATACCCTTCACAACAGCACAAGCTAGCTAATGTGATGATATACTTATCAATATTTATTTCTTGACCTTTGCCCAAAACTCAAGATAATTAAAACATTAACATCAAACACTTGATATTGAATCTTATTGATGTTGAAGTTCCAAAATTTTGAGAAGTGAATTCTTCAAGTCTTAATGTGAAAGTTATGGAGTTGCAAGTACATAGGCATACTTCAAGTCAAGAAAATGATTTATAAGACATGATAAAAAAAGGTAAAATCACCTTGTGAAAACTTTTGTATTCAATCAATGTAATCCACAAACCATCAAAATGACGGTGTTTATGTTTTTGAATGTCCAAGCAGAAACACAAGGGTGAATTTAGCAAAAGTTTTAAGCTTATCAAGCTTTCCTACATCTTTGTCACTATGTATGTAATCCAACAAACTATTCAAGAAGATCACATACTTCTTTTTCTTTCAATGAAGAATGAGATGTCTTATAATTAAAAAATCAAGAGTGTTCTCAAGACTTTCTGTTTTGAGAGGTTTGTTAAACCAACTCTTGAATTTTCAAGGTTTGTTCTCTTGGACTAATTTTTCAAACAGCTTGTAGAGTTTGTACGTATCATGTACATTAATCATTAGATTGGTTTATGGTGTTGATCAATTTCTTGCTCGTGATTTATTGGAAGATGAGTGAAAGCTAGAATCAAGGCTCGAAAGAATCTATTGAAAGCTCAAATGGTTCAATTTCTTTCTTTAGAATATAAACAAATCGAAAACAGAGGTACATATTGTTACGATTTTTTATAAATGAACTTGATTCTTAAACATATACTTTGCATATATATATATATCCATCAAGCCATTCGAATTTCCCAAGTGATCATCAATCTATCTCCTTGGATGAGTCGATCTTCTAGAAGTTTGACTACCTTTCTGACCTCTTTGAAACAAATCATTCAAAGACCCCTTCTCAAGTTTCCCATCAACATTTAATCTTCTAGGAAACACTTTAATTTGATGAACATTGATAGAAGGTACCATTTTCCGTATGATCAATCTATCTGATCTTTCAATCGAATCTTGCCATTGAGGAATTCTCCATACTTCGCATTCAGGTATCGGTCTTGTAAATCCTTTTGATAATTTAAGTTTGGCTTTCATAGCCGAAATCACTAGTTCTCGTATCCTTATACCTGTGCCTCCTAACCTTTGATCACTCATTTGTAATACATATCGATCTAATCCTCCAACCTAACGAATCAAATTCAAAGACATTTAAAAAATCAGTCATAGGTTTCGGTCTAATGAGATGATCAAATCAGGTAGGTTTTTTTACTTTATCAATCGTTTTTAATGCAGCAGTCGTGAGTTTGAGTTGTAATGATTGATTTAAAACTTCTGACCATAAACTTGATTTCTGTACATTCGGATTCCAGACTCGTTTAGTACGATGTTTAGATTTAGGTATATTATCACCTGCTTTAACTTTCAATCCATCATAAAGTCCCTAAAAGAATTTTCATATAAAGGTTGAAGTTAACTTGATAAGTGATGGTGAGAAAAAGGTTTTCAAGATACATGAAGGCTTACATAGTCAGCTCGTTTGGTGTGTTGACGAGTTATTTTTAATGGTGGTACATAAGTTACACCATAAGAGATTGGGGATTGGGTTTGGGATTGGGTTTGAGTTTGATTTGAAGTTGTTGAGATGTTTGATTTGATGAAGTTTTGATTTGAATGAGAGTACTTTAGATTAGTTGATAAGAATCTTCTTAATAGGTTCTTCATCATGTGTTCTTGTTCTTGTTCTTGTTCTTGTTCTTGTTCTTGCTCTTGTTCTTTGTTTTCTGGTTTGATTTGGGATCGAAGTTGAATTTGAAGTTGAACTGGAAATAGACTTAAACCAGCTACTTAGACCTAGTTAAGTCTAAGTTCTTAGACTGAAACTTGACACTTTATGACAACAGCAATCTGTTCTGCTTGCCATCAACAATCCGCTGTTCTTTGATTTCCAAGTTTATACTCAGCATCAAAATGGAATCAACTTCAACTTCAACTTCAACTTCTAATCTGATTGCTGAACCATCCACTTCAACATCTCAATCAGATCAATCATCAAAATCAATACAACAAAACAGATTAATAGCAAAATATCAACTAAGATCAAAACAACTCACTCAATCTACTTCAACACAAGATCTTCATCAAATCAAATCAAAAAAAAGACCTCAGAATCAAATCCAATCAGATTCATCTACAACATCAAATTTAAAACCATTACCAAATCTAATTGGAAAATATGTAGATTATGATTTAAGTACTTTAAAGAATAGTAAAGGTGGATTCTTGTTAAATTCAGAGGAAGAAAATCAAAAACTTTTAAAACAAAATCAACAAGTTGAAGAATTGAAAAAACAAAGATTAAAACAAATCGAAAGATTTCATCAAAATCGTAAGTACTTTTTAATTCACTCAAACCAAACCAAGACAAAAACAAGAAGAGATTAACCAAAATTGATGGTTTTGATGGTTTTTTGGCTTGTTAATAGAATTATCATTAGATCCAAATCAGAATCCGAAATGTAAAGTTTGTTCAAGTATCGAATTAGACATTCAAATTTATAATGCATTTAGAGTACCGGTCTGTAAGACATGTAAAAACAATTATCCAGATCGATTTAGTTTATTAACCAAAACTGAATGTAAAGAAGATTATCTTTTAACTGATCGTAAGTTTTTTCTTAACTTTTCCTACAAACAAAAAACGAAAAACTAATTCAATTGAAAATCGAAATTTGGAAAAACTTTAGCCGAATTAAAAGATACCGAACTTTTACCACATTTATTAAAAGCTAATCCACATCAATCAACTTATTCAAATATGATGTTATATTTAAGAGAACAAGTAGAAGAATATGCATTTTCATCTAAGAAATGGGGTTCATCTGAAAATTTAGATGAAGAATTTCAAAGAAGAACTAATGTAAAAAAACAAAAGAAATCTAAAAAGTTTGAAGAAAATTTAAAAACTTTAAGAAATCAAACTCGAAAGAATTTATATCAAAAAAGACAAGATGAAATTCATGTACATCAGTTTGAGTTGATGTCTGCTGGAAGTCAATCTAATTCGGTTCAGAAATGTCTCACTTGTGGATTAGAAACTGAATGTGAAACTTTTTAAGTCTGGATAGTTTCTTTGTACATTTCATCTTTGGATTGGATTCAATCGTGTTTTACTCTTTCTCAAATTTCGTTTTTTGTCTCTCTATCTTCTAATCAAATATTCCTCAAATCCTTAAATTATAACTTTTGTACCATGAAATCAGGATTGAATAAATTATGATCTGTCCATTCAATCTCTTTTGAAAAAAGCTATCTAAGAAAATGTGTAAAATCAATGATAGATTTTTCAATTTTGCGCAAGAAAAAACTCTGCATTTTTTTGCATCCAAACACAAAACCAACGTGCAATCACAGACATTCTATGGATCACAAAAAGTTTTTCAAACCATGCTATAAGAAAAAAAAAGGTAAGCGAGGAAAAGAAAATGAAAGATGACTATATTAACAAAAAGAAAGGTATAGGTAACAAAAGTGAGATGAAAGATTTATTAACATGAACCGATTCAAAAAGAAAAAAGGATATAGCCTCTGGTGTCGATGAGAAGAGAAGAGGATTGCAAAAATGTCTCTTGAGAAAGAAAAAAAAATGAAAAGGTGAGGTGAGATTTATGTCTGAAGTGATGAACTTTTAGGAACTTTCCAAACTCCTAATAAATAATTTAATCTAATGATAAGTAATTCGATAGCCATTGTGATACTATCTTTAATGATACTTAATTTACTACCACTTACTTCGTTCCATGTGATTGGAACTTCTGCAATCGGTATTGGAGGATTCATTAATTTGGCTAACAGTAATAATTCTACATCAAAGATCCTAAAAGAAAAAACAAACCAAAACATCAGCTTAGTTTAAATGAGGGTTTTCCAATACGATTTAAAAGAAAGAAAAAGAATCCAACAAACCATCCTTCAACATGTAATCCATTAAACAAATCTCTAGCTGAATCTCTAGTTAACAATTTAAATCCACATTGAGTATCACGAATATCACGTAAACCTAACAAATAAAGATAAAGATGAAAGGCTTTCATTAAGAAATTACGAAATTGAGATCTAGAAACGACAGGTTGAGTTGAGATTAGATGAGCTCTAGATCCGATACTCATTCCAAGTTGAGTGGATTCGGTCTTTAGGATGATTTGATTGAGTTGATCGTTTAGTAATTTGTGATCTGAGAAATCACTGGCTCCATCTGCATCTGCGAATAAGATCCTTTGACCACGTGAAAATAGGATTCCCTATGAATGAAGAAAATTCATCAGAAAAAAATACCAATCAAATGAAACTTGATGAATTGATTTTTGATTATAAGAAATAGAATTTAGGATCTTGAAAGCTTACATGTTTGACTGCACCACCTTTACCACGATTCTTTCCTAATCGGATCACTCTAATTTCACCATTAACCTTTGGATTAGATGATTGAAGTAAAGCTTGATGATCAAAAGCAAGTTGAAGAGCTTCTTGAACGGTTTGATCTTGACTACCATCATCTATAATCAAAACTTCATAAGATTGATTTAAAGTAGGTAAATAATCTAAGGCGGATTTTAAGCCGACTTTCAATCGGTTTTCTTCATTATAGGCTGGAATCACTACACTTAGGTCTAGCGTTGAGGGTTCTTGTATGGATTTTAATGGTAGACCTGGTGCATTGGGTTGCTCGGTTGATAAGTAGTTTAATGATTCTGGTGTGGGTGGTAATGGGTTGGGTGAAATATATCGTAAAGTTAATATCTAGAAAAAAATAAATAAATCATATTCGATTTTAATGATTAGTTTTTTTTGATAGAAAGGACTTTTTGAAAGAAAAGATTCGGTTTTTGATATCAAACGTACCAAGGTATAGTATAGAATTGGAAGTAAGAATAAAATACTTAGGATGAGATTCCACATCTCCTATTCGATTTGATTTATGAAAATGTGTAAACTTTGTTGATATCGTTCGATTTTTTTGTGATCCACTAATCGTTTGATATGTATTTTGATTTGATTGGTTTTATGAATGATTTCTATTCAAGACTTGATGTAGTTTTTCTTAAAAGATATATGTAGAGTCAGTTCGTAGAGAAAGTCTAAAAAGAGTGGTGTTCTTTAAATTTTGAAATTCTAGCTGGCAGATCAAAATTCAATTTGGTAGGATCTATAATTATCATCGGGGCCATGTCAACAACTCAAGAAACTTCAGCCCATGAGCCTTCCTTCGTAAACAACAACAGAAATGAGCATGGTGACTCATTTACGAGTTCTTCTGATATCTTCTTTTGTACCTTCTCTTCGCTGATGTAGTCCACATTTCAGTCAACCAGAATCCTACATATGTACAGTTGTTACCACTGAAGCTGGACCACAGTGATGATCCGGCCGGCCCCGGGGCCGGCCCCGATTCCAAATTTTTGACTTTGAGAATCTCGCTTTTCACCATATTTGGGTGTACATATGTCTAAAGAGCCTTCAGTTCCTGAATTCAAATTAACCCAATCTCAACAACTGAAATGGCCAGCAAAGCTTCTCGTGCCCAAGCCCAACGACGTAAACGTGAACGTGCAGAAGCCCTTTCTGTGGAGAAAACTCAATTGAGCGACGTGGACTTGGTTTCTGATTTGGATGATACTCACATCCCCACCCACCCCACCCCTTTTATCACCGTCAAGTCTGATTCTGAAGACAATCTCAACCCTTCCCCCGCACCTGATCTTGAAGAGATACACTGGGTTAAGATTCAACACACTCATGACACCGAGGACGACCAATTGGATCCTTCCGACATGGTTCATTTTATCCGAGCGGGCGTAGCTGATTCATCTGATGATGATGAATGTGACCAGGAACTCTTTACTGGTGTCATGTTTCCTGTCTTCACTCAACCTTGTCCGTCCCAACCAACTGTTGGCAAACGTAAGCGACGATCTGGCGGTATCCTCAAACACTACAGACGCCCCACAGTTGATCCAATCACCGGAAGAGCAATCCATACCAAGACTCCAACTACGTCAAAGCATAATTACAAGATCAATAACGTAAAAGCCTTAGGGAAGAACAACAAAACAATGTCAAATTGGCTTACCCAAGCAAATCTAGCTTCTCGTGTCTCATCCTTTATGACTGGTCTGGACTCGCCTCCACACTCTGCTTTACTCAACCCTCCCGACTCTTCTCGTCTCAGCACCCGCTTCGAATTTGAACCCATCAATCACTCCTCCAATTCCAATTCTGACCATTCTGTCTCCGCTGAATCTGATCAGGAGGCTGAAATCAACTTAGATATTGACACTGAATCCAATGTAGCATTACTGACTGAAAACAATCAATTAAACAACCAAAACAATGATTATCTCAACAGCTGGATTGACCAATGTGTTGACAATTATCGAAATTCAAAACCAGTTCAAACCGGCCAATCTTTAGCTGAGAAAACGAAGCAAACTGCAAATGATAGATTTAACAAGCTCAAACAATCTCTCATTGATGTGTCAAAGAAGTACCAAGACCAGGCAAAGACTCAGCCCGGATTCAAGTGCCCAGACCTCCTCATTGCCGATCTACACGAGTACAACTCTCGATGGCTGGAGCTGACATTGGACGGAGTCACAAAGTCGCCTGCAGTGACAGCTTCAATGTTCACTGCTCAAACCTCGGCTTGACGATTGGAAGTAAAACACACCGATTTTACGACTGGTGTAAGCCATGCAAAGAGGATACGGCAACAAGCAACTAACCTCTTAAATACTGGCGAGTTGATCATGTCAAAAACTGGCTCGAATTCAAGGCATGTATCAATCTTAGACAACCAAGAGGTTTTTGATGCACTTTATACCTGGACTGTGGCTATGAAACCGGGCGAGGTATGTTAGTTTCTCTTTAGAATTTTCCGATTCCAAAAATCTGATGAAAACCCTGTTCAGCTTTCGCCTCTGGTCTTTCAGGATCATGTAAACGAGGTAGTTTTACCCAAGTTTGGTTACAACAAGTTGGTTTCACTCCAAACGTCCTATTGATGGATCTATCGACTTGGTTTTCGCCCTCGAGAGTATAGCAAGGGTCTGTATTATGATGGACACGAGCGCCCAGACGTTATCGAAGCCAGGAAGAAGTATCTTGCTTCCCTCGATGAACTCAAGAAGTCATTTTATACATTCTCTGGCGATCATCTTGAGAATATGGATCCTCTTACACTTCCAGATGGTACCCTTCCTTTAGTACCCATCTATCATGACGAGTCCACCATACACGCAAATGAGCGGCCAAAATTTGCTTGGATAAAAGATGGTGTTCACGAGCTCCGTAAAAAAGATGATGGTCGCTTAATTCATACCTCCGACTTCGTTTTACCAACAATTGGACGTCTCGACATCTCTTTGCGAATTCCTTCAATGCCAGTCGCTTCTGGACCTCCTCCCGAATTCTCTGAAGCGACTGTGGTCATATATCCTGGTTCAAAACATGACAAATGGTGGGATATGCAACAACTCATCGATCAAGTTAAAATGCGTGCGATTCCAATCTTCGAATACCTTCATCCAAACACTAAAGGTGTCTTTATCTTTGACTGTTCATCTGCACATGAAGCGTATGTGCCTAATGCTTTACGAGTAACAAGCATGAATTTGAAACCTGGCGGCGATAAGATTCTTAGAGATACAATCATACCGACTGATGATCCTCAGATTCCAGTTGAACTGCGTGGATTGCCACAACCCATGAACTTTGCTCACGATCATCCGGATAAGAAACTCGCTGGAAAACCGAAGGGTATCAAGTTGATACTTCAAGAGCGTGGCCTTTGGGACTTTTACGATGATCGACTCAAGGCACTAGGTCATAAAGGTCTAACAATGAAGTGTGCAACCTGTAAGCTCTCTGGAGTTCAACGCGACGCCATTCGACGTAAAGAGCGCTTAAGGCTTGACACTCAAACCAGCAATCACACTCAGCCGGCCACCTCGGAGGATCCATTTTGCTGTGCAGTGAAGATCTTGGCGGCTCAGTCCGACTTTGCAAACAAGAAGCCTCTTCTCCAGATGGTGATTGAGGAGGCAGGTCATATCTGTCTTTTCCTCCCAAAATTCCACTGTGAATTGAATCCAATAGAACTTTTCTGGTCCTTCATAAAACATCGTGAGTTCATATTTCTCTCTTTTTTCTCATTTGTATAATTTTCAACTGACAGACTTGTGTGGGTCAGATTACCGTAAAAGAAGTCTCAAATATCCATCCTTCAAAGAGAGCATGTCTCTCTGGCACACCATACGTAAAAGCTGCCCTTTGACAACAATTCGGAAGTTTTTTCGCAAGGTTTGGGGGTATCATTTAGCATATCAGTGGGTCCACTTTTCCTCCTTCTAACCCGTCTGGATCACGGTGCTGATAAACTTGCCTCAAAAAGCCAAGGTTTGACAGGTTTGCAAGCAGAACAGATGGTGAAAGACAAGGTTTATCTATCCCACCGATGTATTGCACGTAACGCTGGGGTTGACGAGAATTTGTAGCTACTTATATGCCCTATGTATGACCTGCCTACATAGCTTATGTGCTGAGTACAGGGCTTAAGTACTTAGCTATGTCACTTAAGCACCCTGTATAAGCATATAATATGCTTAATTCCAAATTATGGGTTTGTGAAAAAAAAAATTTTTTTAGGCTCATCAGAGCAAGCCAACTGGGATATTTCCCATATAAAGACACTTCTCAGACCCCATAAATGTGTTTATTAACCCAACTTGATAGGTTTTGAACCTGTACAAGTCCGGGCCAGTTCAAATTTCGTTTTTGCAGAGAGGCTGTGGTCCAGCTTCAGTGGTAACAACTGTACAGCCCTTTGCAGAATTGATGACTTTGGAGAAAAAAAAACCTCGAGTTTTCAAACAAGAAACCTCGAGTTTTGTCAAAAAGTGACCGAGTTTTTTCAAAAACTGGGCAAGAACTTGGTTCAATTGATCGATATAACACTCACGAACAAGAGCTCGCTCAGTTTTTGAAAAACTCGATGAGTTTTTGAAAAAAACTCGCAGGTTTTTTTTGAAAACTCAAGTGTTTTTTCTTTTTCCAAAGTCATCAATTCTGCAAAGGGCTGTAGGTTAAAAATGTTCGTATATCCTTTCTTGCTGCCATCTCAGACTGGGATGCAAACCTAAGAAACTGGATGTCAGTAGCTCAGGCAATAATCAAGTGTGATGCGTTGATTTCTAATATCTTGCTCAGAAGACGAGACCCATTTCAAACACCACTCGGGGGTTATTTTTTATCTTGTAGGCTCAAACTGTTGGCTTCATTAGATCTTGTTCGCAATCTCGCATAATTTCTATGTGAGGTTGTTTTAAGTTATGAAAATCAAGTGTAGGATGTACCAGTGAGAGTTTAACATGATAGATCAAATTTTGCTCAACTCTTTGTGTTTGTTCTATGGCTACCTACTCAAAGTCAACTTTTTAATATATATATTGGGATCATGGTGTCTATCCACAATACATACTCTAAAGCCTCAAGAGTCTACTTGCTTCTACAAAAATTGGATCACAAGTTGAAATGAAGTTCATGCATAGTATCATGTGTTACAGACAATCTATGACCTTGCTGGGTGACATTTAAAAAAAGAGGAAAGAAAAAAACCAAAAGACAGAGACTAGGTTAGGGATACACAGACATGTTCTTGAGAAATGGCTTCATGACAGGATTGTGGGAATTGAATTCACATTGTATTGCCAATACAGGATGAGAATTCCTTGAAATTGGGATGATAAGCTCTTTTATCCTAGAAACCCACTCTTGTCTGAGTGGGAATTAGACAAACAATGATTCTTCAATTCCATTTCTAAGAATTCCCTACAAAATTTTTGTTTCTTCTACTCCAGACTACCAAAAAGAAACCAACAATTGAAACATGAAAAATAAATGAGTGTTGAGATCAGGGCTCTGATGACCATAGTGATTGGATTGATTGGGTTAGGTGTAGTGTGAAGTCAAAGTTGTGTAGGAAAAATAATTTGAAAGGAAGTTTGGTCTTGAGAGTAAAGGTTCAAGGTTTAGAAATGATGATGGTGCCAGTGGACAATTGATGAACCAGATACAAGCCAAAAGTATTGTGTTGAGATGGTGTATCACCACAAGCTTGACAAACACCCACCACCAAACAATGTGATCCATGGGCAAATCACCCCTCACCGGGGCCGTGGTGGTCCAGCACTACATCCAGCATTGCATGCTCTTGTAGGATGACCCCTTGCTGTGCATTGTCCCCTGTACTCATATACTTTTGTACCACAAACGTCACATGTCAAATGTTTGACCTCAATTGGTGCCCAACATTGATCCGCTGGGTTTCCACACCTACAGTACAAGGGTACTTGACAATAAGAAGAAACCTTGACCCATTCCAGTTCCCCAGCACAACCTTCCGTAGATTCTGGGCAAGGATCACCTGACACAAGTCCTTGTGCTAGTCTGGAGATGACAGCTGTTGTGATGAAAAATGTTGAAAGTCCAAGTAGCTTCATGATTTTGCCACAAATCAAGTGATGTTGAAGAGTGAAGAAGTTGTTCTTGATTATGCCTTGGTTAAGTTTTTGATAATCAGAGTCTGAAGAATAATGAGATGATGAGAATGAGTTATAAGAATTGAAATCAACAAGTTTGACAATGTGTTTTGGTTTTACAAGCTACTATAGATCAATGTGGTTTAATGTTATTTCAGCTCTTTTATTGCTTTGATACCCTTCCTTTTGGGGTAATCCCTGGAATTGAAGTATCCAAGTGACAATTGTTAAGATGACAATGAGAAAGGGTGGAGACTCAAACAAGGTCAAAGGGATTTATATACCTTTCTGCGCTGAAATGGTCAGCGGCCAAAATGTGGTTCTGCTTGGTGGCCAAGATGTGGTTCAGACTGCACAGCTGAATTATTACCATGTTGTAGTCCTTCAGAACTGGTAATCATTATGATCAGATATTCTAACATCCATGATGAAACTTGGTTTGGTTGAGTATTCAAGATGTAGTAGATTGCACAGTTGAGTCATCAATCTTTGTAAATGTTCCAGGAATGGTTATCTGTAAACTCAAAAAAGTCCCATGCTGTTTCTCACACGCTTTGAATCATCATTCACTCAGATAACCTAAACTCAACAAACTACCACACTGTGCTTGAAGCTTGAAGCATATGAGACCTGGTGTGGGACTTTGTTGAATTTAGGTTATCTGAGTGATTGATGATTATCTTCTTCTGGCTGAAACTCAGTTTACATAAATGAGTGCAGTAATAGTATGTTAAGACACAAGCTTATCTTGAAGCCTTTGGCAAAGGTCAATTGACACAAAAGATGATATCCTGTGGTATGGGATCAATTTATCCAAGTCCTGAACTGCTTCTCTCATGCTTTCAGCGCAGAAAGGGACTTATGATGACCCAACACGCTTTTGCCTGTGAGGAGGATCAAGTTTGGCTGAAGAAATTTTCATTCCTTATGAAACTTTTGTACCTATTGATGGATTTTTGTGAACCATAGGGACCTTTTTCCCCCTCTCTTAGATGCTCTTTTCTATCAAAAGATTTCTGGATGAAACCAATGAATCCTCTTTCAGGTTCTTTCCAAAGTTCAGGATTTTGGACTGTTGTCAAGGGTTTTGACCTGTATTTGAAGACTGAGAGTGGTTTATACCTACAGATACAAGGCAAATTAGACAAAAACCTTGAACATCAAGGGAAAGTAGAGGAATGAGTTTTTGGATCCCTGGGTTTTTTTCAACAAACCAATGTGTCTCAGAGGCAAACAAAAAACTTGTTTGCCTTATGAAATCCAAAATTGAGGAAAAATCTTTAGAAGTCAGATTTCTCCTGCAAAAGCTCATTCTGTGAGGAGTGCGCGTCTGTTGGGCGTGCTCTTCACTAAGAATGTGGTGATAAAGGTAAAGTGTGGTCTTCACGTGGTACACCCAAGTGAAGACTACAGCTAGTTGACCTCTAAGAAGAGGATTTAAGGAAGAGAGAAAGAGATTAAGGGCAATTAAGAGCTAGTGCACTCTAACCTTGTGAGACTACGAGGGGCAGGCTTTAGACGTTGGTAAACCAAAGATCCTGAAGGCTACTTTAGACTCCGTAAAAAGGAGGAAGCTTTGCTACTTTCAGGTTTATTTCTAGAGACAATGAATGCCCTGGGCTCATAGAAATCAGTACCTTGGGTGTTCAGCAATGGAACCCGTAATGCTCAAGGATGGTCTTTAACAAACTACACAACTAACCATGTACTTGAAGATCCCCTCAATAGGAGTCAAGTAAATGTGGTTCTGTGTTGTGATGGTAGTAAAAGATGGGGGATGATTCTAGGGAGGAAGGGGGGTTAATATAGTCTCAGTTCCAGCGTTGACTTGTGGTTGGCGTGTGAGCCTTGTCTATTCACATGTCAACTTGTGGTTGACACCTGGGTTAGGTTTATTACATATTTAATACATTACATACATGTGTTTAAGTGGCTCTTGACACTGAGCCTTGAGATGTAGCTTATGGCTTTATATATGGATCCCACTATTTAGCGCCCCCTTGGCAGACATCCGGCGCCCCCCGGGTTTTGGTCAATACCCGCGCGGCCCGTTGATACCCGAGCAATCTGAGCCTAAATTTTGCACATCGGACCTTGGGGGCACCTTGAGGGCTCCCTAAGAGGGCATAACTTCACAGATGCGCCCTTTATTCTACCTTTTTGATGCCCTTCCATCCTTGATGGGGTATCAAAGATCATCCAAATCATTGAAAGGGCGTCTAAGTTCTTTTGTGCCCGGACCGGCCCAACGGCTGCACGGTCATTGGCCCCTCGGCTCTGATGGAAGTAGCATATAGGAGGTCCCGGTCAACCATCTCAAACTCTTTTCCCTTGGACAACTTTTGCTTTTTTCCTGTTTGCCCTTTCACTGATCACATTTCCAAACTTCCAACCACCACCAACAACCTTCATCCCACCCATCAACTTCGCATCAACCTCATACAAACACAAACAACCTTCAACTCTTAAACCTTACCAAACTAACAACTACTAATATCACCGCCATACAATCAGTCACTCGATTCAAGCTAAAGTTGCTCAATTTGCTCATCCAAATCTTCATCTCTTGAACTCTTGATGCACAGTACGGCCCATTTTTCAATTTCATTGGATATATCACTCTACTTTAAGTTTCAAACACTATTGAACTTTCTTCTTTAGCTAATCTTAGTACATCTTCTGCTAGATTTCTTTCTTCTTCAATAATTTATAATTGGGTTTCAATCTCTTTTATTCCTTCATCCAATGGTTGATTTATAAGTTTTTCTGTTTTTATAATTTCAGTTCAATTTAAATACAATTCTTCGATTAATCTATCAGTTTGATTAGGCCTTTCAACTTGATTTACTTCATCTGAAATCAATAAAATTGATTCTGTAATTGGTTTATCTGTATCTGCTGAATTTAATTTGGTTGAAGGACTTTGAGGAAATGAAGCAGATACGGCGAACTCCAAGAAGCGAATGAGCGGCTGCGAGAAACAAACATGATCAATGAGAACTCCAGAAGAGATCTTCAGTACCAATTGGACAATGCGCATCAAAAATGGGAGGATTGTAAAGGTCAAGGTGACTTTGCAGCCGTTCAAGTTTGAGGAAGTTTGTTGACAAACTTCCTTTCTCAGAACCACACAATTATGTTGTCTCAAACCCCTATGCCTTCCTTGTATGCTGTCAATTTACGATGTTATGTTTATGCCGATGACGGTCTTGTGTGCTTGCTCATCGAGCAGCGAGCTCCGCTCGCGTGACAAGGCCATGTTTTACTTGGCTAACCTTAGACATTCACATACCATACAAGAGAAGAAAATGTTTAACCAAGTATATAAATATATAAGGCGAGATGAAGTAAATTGTAGTACGAGTCTATATATGGGTGCCCCAATATGGTGCCCCTTTTTTTGAAAAGGGGCACCAGAATCGTTTGTAGCCCGGTGTCCGACCCGACAGGGGGCGCCGGATACTGTTCCGAGGGCGCTAAATAGTGGGGTCCTTATATATTATTTTAATATTACATATGGTACTGTTAGCCCATGGTCCTGTAATTAGGGCTCAGGGCTGACACATTCCCTTTACAGGCCAAAGTGTGCCTTGTTGTCACAACTTCAAGTCCCTTGCTGTGCTCAAAGCAAGCAAGAAGCAGTGTGGGACTTGAATGAGTTTTTGAATGGGACACTTTTCAATGGTTGCTGACATTTAAGCTCTTGGTGTAATTCATTGAAAATTGTGAGCTCAACTAACCACACTGCTGGTTGCACACCCCTATGCACAGGAAGGGCACAATTTTGCCTGTGAGGGGAATTCAATGTTGGCAGTCGAATCTGCCTCCTTTATAAAACCTTTCGGCATGATAGTGAACTTTCTTGGACCATGGAATTTATTTGTGCGCATGGCCTGGATGCGCAACTCTGTCAAAAGAATCATCAAGGAACTTGGACCCTACCCTCTGTTGTCTGCTCCAGAAGTTTGGAGTTTTTCAAATTTTCCTCCTTGTACCTGTTGTTATAGTGACTGCAACTTCAAGTGATTTCTACAAATAAATATTGTGGTAAAGAATTGGAAAGTAGCAACTCCTGGTGCAAAAAGAAGCAAGAAGGCTCTGTATGTTTTTGACAGATCTGTATGTATAAGACTGGTCCCAAGAATATTTCTTTGGCTCAAGGAAATCCACAAATATGGGAAAACATTTTACAAGCAAGAATGGTTTCAGCACCAATACCCAATACCACTCACAGGAAAAAGTGTGCTTTGTGGTCCTAAGTCTCTTTCTGCGCATAGGAGTGTGCAGCAAACAGTGTCTGGCTTGTTGAGTTACTGTTTAAGAAATGTGCTTTATGAAGATTGATATATCTTGATCACTTGAATGGAATTCATATGACATACTCACATCTTTTGTTGAGTTAGTCAAGTGTGTGGTGGTGATAATCTTGACTACCATTTGTCAATTCATCCTTGTCCATGAGATTCAAGCTTATAAAAAGGCATAAAACGTCATGTTTGAAAGTTTGAAAGAAATTATATGGCTGGAAATGAGGTATAGCTTGCTGGAAATGAGGTATAGCTTGCTGGAAATGCCGACCTTTCAGTTCGCCCAGTTCGAAGAAACAGAAGATGATCTCTGAAATCTAACAATCATCAGCGCACACAATAAAAGTCGTCTTCATAAAAGGAGACCATCTTAGAAAGGGTGAATTCATCAGCTCAGGATTTTACGAGTGCTGAATCCTTTTGTTGAACAATAGCGAACCTTGGTACATAGTCGGAAAGGCGTCACGTTTTGTTAAAGATGTCGACCGTTCAACGTTTGCATTTTGATTTAAATGGTGTGGATACTGAACGTTAGTGCACACAAAAGGAAACTTATTCATAAAAGGCGAACATTGCAGAAAGACTGAGTTTAGGTTCCATGAGTTCTGAACTGTGCTGAGTCAAGAAAACGGGCCAGCTCTAGGTTGAATATAAAATGACGCCGACAGGATTCCCTCACCCTAACACAACACCACCGACAATACGAACATAAATCTCATCAAGTCATCACCACCTTACCTCGTCAAATCCGATTCAAGCTTCTCTGAATCATACAAAATCATCAACCTGATGTCTTACTCGCAACTCTTAAAATTTATCCAATCCATTCAAATTGCTTATGACAAGGAACACCCATCTTTTAACGCCGACGAAGAGCAGCTCTTACCTTCTTTAATTCTCAAGTTGCTGGATGCACAGGCTACGATACTAGACGTCGAGAGCGGAAAAAACTTGGTTGATAGCGATGTTGAATGTTGGCTAGCGGCGATGGACGTTGAACGTCATTCGCTTAATCAACTTGAGCAAATCTCAACAGACTTTCACTTGGAAATTTCTCTTGTTGATCTTCTTCCCACCCCTGGCTCCAAAAACTGGCTGAAGCTCGGTGAGCATGCAAGTCTTATGGCTAATTGGTTAGACACAAAACGCTTTCGATTATCAGACAAGGAAATTCACGAGTGAAAAGAACAAATGCACTAGGATGTCACTTTATGAACATTTTCCTCATATTCAACAGAGGTAGAAAGCATAGGTTCATGTCAACAGGAATGAATCCAAGCGGTTCAAGATGTTTATGTTGTAATTCTTCTGTTCAAACGAGTGGACTCAGTTAAGTTCGGGGAAAGAGACTGTATGATAAAGAGAAGCGAATTTTGAAGAAGTATTCATCGATGAAGGTTTAGCTTAGATAGATGGGCAAACAACAGCAGGAAGTGATCGAGTCAATCAAAGGTCGTATGAGATGCTGGGTAAAGTACTCAACCCAGCTGAGTAGCAACCAGAAAGCAAAAACTTTGTTTCAAAAACATTTTGTATCTTCGTCATCATTTCTTCGTCTCCTTCTCATTATTTCACAAATCATCCTCATGTAACCCAGATACCCAAAAAGATAATCTTTAGAAAAGTCTCAACAAGGAAAAGGTTGCCCTGTCTAATCAAAGTGCCATATACCACGCGCTTCAACAACTGGAAGAGAATGAAGTGCACAGATGAGGCTTAGCCAAATTTGCAGACACGTGCATTTTTTCTGCAAACGACATGTTACCAATGATCCTTCCACATTCAACCACTTTTACACCCAAATCACGGTGGTTCAGGCACATTCACATAAATAATGTAAAGAAGGAAAGGCGGAACTCACAAGAACTGCTGGTATCAGATGTTCAGATCAATCTCATGTGTTATTTACACATTATTTAGTGAAAGTAATTTATAAAAACTATTTTGACTATAACAAAAATTCACCGCAGTACAAGAAATTATCCACGTTTTTCGTCTTCAGGTGAATTGGACTGGGTTTGAATGACCTTGGAGTCATCTATCATACGATGTGCAGCCTCAAACAGTCTCAGCCAGTCTTCGGATCCAGGAGCAGGAAGATAATCAACAAGCGGAATTTCCAAGTCGAACTCAATAGAGATCTTTTCAAGTTGATCGAGAACAATACGTTTAGTTTCTAGTGCCTCGAGCCAGCTTTCAACTTCACTATCCACCAAGTTCTTGCCGCTTTCAACGTCTAGTATCGTAGCGTCTGCATACCAGATGTCGAGGATCAAAGAGGGTAAGTGTTGCTTTTGAACGCCGTTGGAAGTCGAGGGTAGCTCGTCGTAAACCCTTTGAATGGATTGGACATGTTTCAAGAGTTCCGAGTAAGACATAATTATTCGGTGGAGTGTGTTAAAAGTACCTTGAATTTAGATTGGACAAGTTGGAGGTGATGATGAGCTCAATGAGATTGATCGTTGTATTATTGGTGGTGAGGTTTTATAGTGAGAGTGAGTAAGTCCCTTCCTGTTTTCAGTTCTGTCGGCGTCTTTTATATTCGAAACAAAAGCTGATCCCACCTCTGCACTGAGCGCTTTTAAAAATTCAAGGATACCGAACTCTCTGTCTCTCGAGTCTCGGCATTATTCGATTTTCTATAAATAAGCCTCCCTTTGGGTGCGCTGACGTTCATAAGCGATTTTATTTGATCCAGAATGGAAACGTTCAACGGTCGACCTTTTCAACAATATTTAACGCATTTCAAATTCCAACTACGTACACAAGTTTCTTGCTTCTCAACTTGATATGGATCCGACACTCGGAAAAATCCTCAGCTGGCAATTCCAATTTCTCTATGATATATTTGTTTTAGAAGGAAGATTCTCAATGTCAGTGTGCGCTGATGATCAATTACACGGTGGCAGTCATTTTGATTTCATTCGAACTGTGCGAGCTGAATGGTCGACATTCTCAGCGAAATACGGCTTTTGACACGAAACAGGATGCTTTTGTAAATGTACAGAAGAATATCACTATACCGAATCACGCAAGAAAGGATGAAAAGGACTGGTAGTAGTCAAAATAATACAACCTCCTCCGACCATTTTCCATTCAAGTGAATAACCAAAGTTTGAAATTCGCTCACCGGGAATTATATCATGAAGAACATAAGTATTAGGAACTGTTGATAAGTCCTTAAAGATCACATTATGTAGTCGAAAAAGCGGATGAAATCAAAAAGCCGTATGAAAAAAATGTAAGAGTAAGAATTGCTGAACAAAAAAAGAAGCCTTTGTTGAGAATAATAAGCGCACATCAGCATCAAGAGTTTTATGAACTGTTTCTTAGTCTTGTTAAATTTGTAAAAGGTGTTACAATATATATCATTAGTTTAAAGGAAAGTGAAGAGCATGTAGACTTACAAAATCATAAACATCATCAACTTTTTTGGTTCTTTCCATCCACTTTAGTCTCCTTGTAGAACACACACTGGGCAGTGGAATCACTGGCATTCTGTCAGATGTTCAATTGATGATGAAAAGCCTCAAGAGTCCAAAGAAATATTGCAGAGACCTGCTATCCACTCAGAAAGCTCATGACAGCTGACAACTCAGCCCCATATTATCTTCTTTCCAAGATGAATTTTTCCACTTCTCCTTCCCCTTCATTTTCCAAAAAGCCCATCCATGAAAGCCCTGGCAAAATCAGATAGCAAAAATAAAATAAAATAATTTCAAATCAAAATAGACCAGAAAACCAAAGAATCAAATCACAATATGAAACCACCCTACCTTTTAAATTTGATACACTTTTCTCATCTTGAAATCAACTTGATCATATTCTCAATGTTCTTCAAATCTTTTACCCCTTTCAAAAGTTCTGATTCATCCAAAGATTGTGAACAGGAGTCATCCATAGAAGTAGGCAAACACTCCAAGAAAGAACTTACTAGCACTAGCAGCAGTACTAGCTCTAGTACCAATGCTTATGCTGGAATGTGAAAGATGAAATTGTCTTGGTACTCTTACTTCAGATTCACCACCAGGATGTTATCTTTATTCCATGTTGTATTCTGTTGTAACTCTGTTGAACTTACATGACTCTGAGCACATTAAGAAGTCTCAAGTTAGCCTTACTCCCTCCTTATCTTCACAAGTCATGACACATGACTATGCCATTTTTTGGTTCTATGACCTGCAACCTTATATATATCAAGATGTTTAAAGAAACCATAACTGTAAAATAAGAAAGCACAATTATTGTCAGGTCTACAAACACATCAGAACATCAGTGAACCTTTGTACAAACCTTTAAAGTTTGATTGGATAATGACAAATTGAATTAATCCTTTACTATGAATTACTTAAAATCCAGTCAAGACAAGGTATACTACAGTCAACTCTTGATATAACCATCCCAACCATCAAAAGAATATTCATGTGATTCATAATATCCAGCAATGAATATCTGCAAAGTGAGAATTATTCAAATTTGGCCCTTTTTTATTAAAGTATGTTACCAATGGCCAACATCCTAACATCAATCGTAGCTCTCATGTCCACATTTGTGATAGTACCTCACATTTGTCTCTCTTTTTCTCCTTACTACAGTATAAGTTTCATGTTTGTCCAAATGCACCACACAAGAGTCACAAACCTAATAAAAGAAACGTTAACCTATGTATCACAAAGTTATCCATACAGTAGACCAAATGCTTGCATGCTTTACATGGTTTTCTCACTCAATCATTTCTTGTGTCTTACTTTGGTACCCATCAACAGGTGCTTCATCACTCATTAGTGATCTTTGGCCTTAGCACTCATCAACATCACTAACTCATGAGTCTTATCAGATCACGTCTGCACTCCCTATTATATCATTTTTTGACTCAAATATCATACATTTATGGTGAGAATGAGCTACAGGCACCACACAGATACAAGAGGTTGGCTGGGTAGGCATGCTTTAATCTGACCCCAACCAACCAAAATGGTTCCCACTCAGTAGTCAGACTTACACATCACACAAACAATTACCATCAAAGCCTATTCTCTCTCTCTCTCTCTCTGGTGAGAATTATGCTCAAACACACAAGAAAAACACTTGACATAAAGGGCATCCTAGGGCAGTTTCTTGCCAACCTCATTCTTTGATTCACTGTGCTTCAAGCAATCTGATTTTAGCAGGGCACTCACACATACCAAAAAAATCACACAGTAACCCTTGCTTAAATTGCAATCTGCATACATGGGGCTTGCTCATATTGAGAGTATCATGGGATGAAATATATCAGGCCTATAATCCAATGTACTGATCATCAATTTGAGCAATTTTTCTCAAGATGAAAGAATACTTACTTATGAACCCTTTGGTCTTGTTAATAAAATATAAAGCAACAGTGAAAGAACTTAAGCAACTATGTATGTATGACTTGAACTTTTTCCCTTAGAAGTTTCATTACCTCACAAATAACATAACCTCAAGCCTTCATATCAAATCATTTTCAGTATAAATAAATCAAAAAAAATTCATTCATTCATTCATGTATAAGATAAAAAAAAATGTTAAATGTATCTTTTTCAGTTGATGTGGAAAAAAAATCATAGAATCAAAAATAAAAGAATCAGATCGTCCAAAAAAGAAAAGAAAAGAAAAGATCAATGAGATGAGATGAGATAACAACAAAAATAGAAATGTAAAAAAAAGAATCTTCCAAGATATTGGTAAATGAAGAGAAAAAGAGAAAGAGAAAGAGAAAGAGACAAGAAGACATAGAGAAAGAGCAGAGAAAGAGAGGAGAAAGAGAGAAAAGAAATGATGATCAAAGTTATACACAGAGAAGAAGAACTGCCATTTTTTTGGTGGTGGTGGTGATGGTGGTGGGGGAGAGGGTTTTAGTTTCTTCTTTTTTTCTTTTGCTTTGTTTACCAACTCATATATCTACATTACAAAACCAAACCAAAAAAAAACTTAATAATAATAATAATAAAACCTAAGACTATGTTTTTTATCACCTTTGTTTTCTTCTTCATCCTTCTTTTCTTTCAATCGATTTATCAAAAAAAAAAGATAATAATCATAATAATCATAGACCAAACCCAAACCCACTTTCGATGAAAAATCATATCATGTAAAAAACAAAAAGATCATCATGATTCCCAAACTCTTTTAAAGCGGTTCTTCATTCAACAACTCCATCTGTTCATCCTCTTTTTTCTTCTGAGTTTGATTCCTAAGCGTTCCAGGACCGTTCGGTCCAGTCAAAGCTCTATCAATAACCGTATGTCCATTACTACCACCTTCTTGATATGAATTAGATAATGGATGATGATTATTAGAAGTGGTAGATCTAATGATAGGTGTATGAAGTGTATCATGTCGACTAAGTGATGATCCACTTAGATTGGTCGGATTGGATGATCCATTCAAATCAGGTGAAGTATGTAATGTTCGATCAGGGAAAAGTGTATTATCTTCCATAACTATATCTTCATCACGATTCTGTGCATTGATATCTAAAATGTCAAAAACAAAAGAAAGGAGTCATTGTGAGATTAGAAATCTTCATAGTCTAGATGTTAAATAGATTGTAAAAGTGTATTACCATGAGGAGTTGAAACATTTGTCATTCCAACAGCCGTAGCTTGAACATCCATTTGACTCGATTGATTAAAGTCATCTAACCCCCCCCAAAAAAAGCAAATCAGAAAGGTCTTCCATAATTCTAAATTCGGTCAACAATCTCCTCGAAATACATACCTATCACGATCTGATCAGAAATCACAACAGGTGATCCCAATTGAGTTTCAAGACCTGTTCCATTTGGATTTGATTTAGGAACTTCAGGTTCAGGTGGATCTTCAGTTTCCACATCAGCTTCTAAATCTGCAAACGTTCTACATAACGGACAACTAAAACCCGGATGATGCATTTGTAATAAAGGTCGAATACATTTAAAATGATAAACGTGTGAACATGGTGCGATAAAGAGTGCTTGACAGACTGTGACACCGAATAAACCTATTGAGATGAAAAGAATTAGTCGTCAGATTGAGAATATGTATCAAACTACTTTGTGTCAAGTCATAGGAAATAAACTCACAGATACAACAGTCTGATACAGGTTTGAGAGGTTCTGGTTTAGATGGATCCTTGTTGGCCTTGTTTGCTGATGAATTTGAATCCGAGATATTAGATTCTCCTCCCAATGCTCTCAATTGTGCCAAAGCTTGTTGACTGAAAGTAACCAAACAGAAAAAAAGGGTAAGAAGGATGGAAACTCATGAGAGACAGAAAAGGAAGAGAAAAAGGACCCACTTGAAATTATTAGCAGCTCGTTGCCATCCTCTATTCAATTCGACTCTCATCTTCACACACCTATAAATCTCTTCAGTTCCACCTTGATAATCCACACCGAGTTGTAAAACATCACCATCTCTCAATGGAAACGGTTTACTTTCACCACCTGGTGCAGATAATCTGATATGATTCAAAAAGGTACCTGATGAAGATTTAGTATCTTTAATAAAGAATTGACCCGATTGATCTGTAAAGATATCAGCATGACCTCTTGAGACGACTTTTGATTTAAATGCGATTCGATTATCATTGAGATTGATTTCATTATTAGGCAAGCTACGATCTGTAAATCTTCCAATCTTTAATGAAGTAGATGATGCGATTTTCCTTTCAATCGGTTCAAAATGTAATGACCTGGTCGCATCAAGATGAGGCACAAGTCTTAAAGAATAGAGTGTCTGAGGTTGTTGATTGGTTGATTGAGCGGTTTGATTGGTTGATTGAGCTGGAGATTGAACTTGTGATGGAGTTTGTACTTGTGGTTCACTCAAAGGGATCTCGGATGATGAGGTGGGCGTGTTATCGGTAGTATTGATGGTGGTACTGAGATCAGCCACCGTTTGATTGTTTCGAAGGATACTGTTAGCTAGGTTGTTGTTGTTGGAATCACCTGAAAGGGGGTGGGAGACAGTAGGAGTAGGAGTAGGATGAGAAGAAGATAAGATAGATTGAGGCGTGACAGACTGGGTTGGCGATAAATGATGATTTGATCTTAAACGATCAGTAGCTGATCTGATCACACTTGGAATTGGAGGAGGTTGACTCATACTACGACGATTTCTAGGCATACGAAGAGATGAAGAAGAGGTTGAAGTGGAATTGTTAGATTGTTGATTTGATGAAGAGTTTGAACTAGATTGATTTGAGTTTTCTTTATCTTTTCTACGAGAAGCCATTCGACGTAAGACTGGAAAGTAACCGATTGCTTTTGATCTTTCTTCAATGGGTGGTTGTTGTTGTTGAGTGGGTGAATGATGATTAGGCATGATGTGATCGATTGAATCTGTGATGAGATGATCTTGATTTGTACTATTTTCTCGTCGATTGGGTCTTGATGATCTTAGAATGAAAGAACTAAGATTGAACCGATTAGAAGATGATGGAGTGAGATGAGTGGTACTGGTAGATTGAGTCAAGGTAGATTGATGATTTGAGTTTGATCGTTGAAGTGAGTTTGAAGTTGAATTTGAATGGGTAGGTTGATGTGAATTTGATCGTTGATGTGAGTTGGATGGAATAGGAGTAGTACTGGTGATTGGATCGAAAGTAGGAGGAGTAAGTTGTGGTGGTAGTGGTGGTGGTGGAGGTTGAGAAGTAGTAGTATTGGTTGATTGATGATGTAAAGTTAAATTGGATCGATTATTAAAGAAACTGGTGGTAGCAGTAGCAGTAGCAGTAGCAGTAGCAGTAGCAGTAGTAGTGGCAGTGTTATTGTGAAATGAATATTGTGGTGGTGCTGAATAAAACATTATCTGATTTTCTACCACTATGACTATATAGACTTTATTAAAATCCAACCTAGATTCTAGTATCGATTTAATTTTCAATCTGTAATTCTTCTTCTTTCCCTTTGAAATCTTCTTTAGTTTCTTCACTTTCTTCTACACCTCGTGAATCGTAATCAAACTTTTATCGATTTCCTTTGAACCAAGATTCAAAGGGAACAAGTTGTGAAGTACTTACTTCTTCAAAGTGTAGCAAGAATATGGGTTTTTAAGTATGTTTCAAAAACCTTCACCGAGGTTTGTCCGTCAGCGAATTGAAATGATTTGACTTGAAATTCTTGTCAAGCTTGGTGAGATTGACTGTATGTGGAGACTATTTTACAGTTTCAATTCAGTTTGAATACATGACTGTATCTAATTTCATGAATTGAATTGATCAATTCAATTCAATGCTTGCTTTTAGAGTTCAAGTTTCGAATTTGATCGAGTGCTTCATACAAACAAACAGCGAACCAAAGACAAATTAGCAATCATAATGGAATCAGAAATCAAAACCCCATTGAAGCTCTTCATCAATCAAGCTTTTCATAAATCAAGCCTTGGAGCTTTGATCAAACTTGAGAAGAGGTCATCTTGGATTTCTTTTCTTTGGGTATATCGGAGTTTGGCTTTATAACCAGAAAGAGAGTCTGAGTCAGGAAAGTGATACACTGATGGATGATCGAGATTTTCATGATCACTTCTGACTTCAATCATCATGGCAGAATCAGATGAATCACTCCAAGTGAATGATCAACTTTTTAAATTCACTTGACCTGAATTCCCTCAACGATTTCAACCATGACACTGACAGCTTACAATCCAATCCAATCATCTAGATTCACTATACACACACTTCATAAGATTAACATTAAATCCATCATCTTCATGATCAATTGATTGGGATGGCACATCAAACCGTTTCATCAATCTAAGCCATCTTATCTAATCAAACTTCTCAAAAATGTTGTCTTTTAAATAAATGGTGTTTTGAATTAAATGTCGAGACTTGATCTCTCTGAAACCCGCCTTTCTTTAGTTTGATTTTCTTTATTTTATTTTTCATTTTTCATCTTCAAATCAAAATCGATTTTTGATTCTGGAGCCTTTTGATCAAGACCTTCTTTCCATTCTTTAAACCCAAAAATAAAAACCCCCATTCCTGATCAATTCATCATTCAACCTTTTTTTTATCTTTTCTTTGTTTAAAAAAAATGTCACTGAAAACCAATCTGATGAATCCAATCCAAAACTTTATCAAATCCCAAATCCTAAACCTAAACAAACTCAAATTTAATACTTTATTTTGGTCAATCCATATCTTATTATTTACCCTAGGTTTTATTTTACAATATCAAAATCAAAAACTTTCAATTCTGAATTTGTTAAAGTTTTCAGTTTGGATTTCTAGAGGAGCTGGTTTGGTCTTAGGTGTAGATGGGTTTTTGATTTTTTTACCGGTTTGTAGAAATCTGGTTAGGTTCTTTAGACCGAAGTTGGTTTGGTTAATGCCTTTGGATGAGTTGAGTTTTTTTGGATTTGATTGAGTGGTTTTTGGGGTTTTTGGGTTTTTGGGTGAAAGGAGAAATCTAATTCGATTCACTGACGTTTGGTTTTTTGGAATCTATAGAAATCTTTGGTTTCATAAACAAGTGGCTTATTCGACTTTAATCTTCACAATGTAAAGTCTTGATTTCCATGAATTTTGTTGATCAAGAATCGTCTTTTGACTTTGAATGATTGGATTCCTAGAATCCATACCACAGCCCATTATGTGAATATGTTAATGGTAGAAAAGACTCAAGTACGAAATGAGACTGCCTTTATGATCATGTATACTCAACCTGGTCCATTTACCGGTCATGTCATGCTAATCATGATGGCATTGATGTATACTACTGCTGTAAGCTCATCATTCTCGGTGCATCTCTTGATGGCCTTCAACTTGGATTGATCTTCTTATCTTTTGCGCTCTAACAGCAAGCTAAAATCAAAAACCAATGTTTTGAAGCCTTTTGGTATACTCATCATCTCGCATTCTTTTGGGCAGTGAGCAAATCTATATCTCATCAGCCTTTCCAAATCCTTTAATCCGTAAACCATCCTTTATTGATCATTCTTCATTCTCGCTCGCATTGGGTTTGATGATGCAGATTGGATTATATACTCATGCGACTGGATGTTTTGTGCGAGGTGCCTTACCAGGTGAAAAAGTAGAATGTTTAGGTTACAATACGTATAGATTCACCTTAATTTCAGGTAGTTTATATTTTGGTGAAAGAGTTTATAGAGAAATCAGATCAAGATATCAAAACACGAAGATCCAATCAGTTTTAATCCATCCGAGTGGTACGATTGAATTGCGGATGATAAAGTCGGGTTTTAAGTATCTACCGGGTCAATGGGTCTTTTTACAAATTCCTGAATTGTCTAGGTTTCAATGGCATCCATTTACGATTTCATCTGCACCTGATGATCCATTTGTGTCAGTTCATATTAGACAAGTTGGTGATTTTACTAATGCGTTGGGTGAAAGATTAGGTGCTACACTTGAATTAGTTAATCAATTGAATTTAGATGTCAAGAATGGGATTGCTGGTCAAGATGCTAGATATGAAGATTTTATTGATCTTACTCATAGTCTTCGAAGTGAGATACCGTTGATTAGGATTGATGGACCTTATGGTGCTCCGGCTGAAGATGTATTCAAATCTGATATGGCTGTTTTGATTGGTACGGGGATTGGAGTGACACCCTTTAGTAGTATTTTGAAAAACATTTAGTATGTTGATCTTTCTTCTCCTATGATTGTTTTCTTTGACTTTGGAAACTTACGAGAGCTTTGTGGACTCTGCGGTGGATTCGAATTTCAGTTATATGCAACAAAAAGGTAAACTTGGTGTACTTCGAAAAGTGCATTTTATTTGGATCAACAAAGTAAGTCTAACTTTCACGCCCAAACCTCCTTTCTGGAAATAAGAGTGTGATCAATCGGAATCACGAATGGATTGTTAACTTTGTTCTTTTTACCAAATCTGATGATCAAAAGGATATAGGAGCCTTTGGATGGTTTAGATCATTATTGCAAAACTTGGAAAAGATACAAACCGATCCGAATTTCTTGACGATGGAAATGTATCTAACGAGTAAACTAAATGAAGATTGTATCAATAATGTTTATTTGAATGATTGTACAAATCCATATGATCCATTAACCGGATTAAAATCTCATACTCATTTCGGTAGACCTAATTGGAATCAAATCTTCAATGACTTACAACTTACTTGTAGTCAATTTCCGGGTCGTGAAGCTAGTTTGAAAACTAATGTTGGGGTCTTTTATTGTAAGTTTTCTTCAATCATGGTTTCCTTTTCATTGTGTTTCTTGATATATTTTCTTGACATCTTTGTAATTTGGTTGGGGTGGATTATAAAGGTGGACCTAATGGATTGAGTAAAGTTTTGAAAACTCAGTGTGATCGGATTACTTCCAAAGATATGAAGTTCAATTTCCAAAAAGAACATTGTAAGTTTCTCTTCACATTTCATATTTTATTTCTCAGTTTAGGCCAAACGGTCACAAAAACAAAACTTGAATTGATTAATCCTGTGACTAATGTGACGCTTTTCCGTTTTTTAAAAAAAGTCTAAAGTTCAATACAACAAAATTCAATAGAGGAATGAGGAAAACACAGGTTTCGATTTCAATTTTTAAGAGACTGGTTTTCTCTTTGCTTCTTTTTGTTTAGTTTCCTTTACATGATTCTATTTGAGATATATGATGGACTAGGTTTTCCATATTATTGATTTAATGTGATTTATAATTCAGTAACGCATGATTTGAATTTAAGATTCAACCTTTGAATTGCGATTTTTTGTTCTCAAAATTTGAATGACCAGAATAGCAAAAGATGGTAAAGGATTAGAGAAAAATCAACATTGTTTTTGCCTAATGAAACAAGACTCGACATTGTTCAAAACAATTATGAAATTAAAGATTACATTTGATTCCAATAAAATTAAACCAGTGATTGTCTTTGATGATCTTAAATGTAAAATATTCATCGAGGTTAAGGGATTGAATCGATTTCTCTTGAAATATCCATCTTATTTCGATGCTTCATCTTGTTTTTTTGATGTATCTTTACTACTACTCGAGCTTGGTTTCCAAAATGAACTTAAAGTTTTCATTCCAGTTAATTTAGGTTGATTTTCATTACTTGAAACCTTTTTCTTTTTAGTAGTTGTAGTTGAAGTAGTAGGTTTAGAATTAGGTTTTAATCCAATAAATTCATTAAAGTTTGTATTTGATGATTCTTGTTTTGAATCTTTGATTGATTTGAGTGTTTTTTCTATTTCTTCAAAATCATAATCGTTTTGTAGCTCTTTGTATAATGAGATTGGTAAATAAGATTCTAATAATCTTAATGAGATCATTTGATTGATTTCTAAAACCAAGAATTGAAATCAAAATCATCAGTTTTCTGTATCCTTTTTTTGGATGGGAACATACCATCACTATAAAGGTTTTTCTCTTCAACTTACTTTGTTTTAAATCTTCATTAGTTTGATAAATTTCATTCCAACCATTTTCCACTAAAACTTCATTCCAAAAGGTTTCTTGATGAGTTGATTCTGTCGAAGAAATACTGATTTTCTTGATCATCTTATCAATTAATTCTTTAAGTTTTTTAATTGAAAATCTATAAAGTTCTTTTCCTTTTTGTCCTTCTTCTTGATCATCTAAAACTAAAAGATCAGTAAGGGTTTGAAAATGAGATGGATTTTGAATTAAGAATTCTTGAAAAAGATTTAGGTCTGGTAAACTTGGTTGGATGGTTTCTTTTTGATTAGGTTCAACTTCATCTTCTTTGAATTTCCAATTCGATAATAATCTTTCGATTAATTCTTCATATTCTTCGTAGTTTTGATGATTCGAAACTGAGCTAAGTTGATTTGATTGAAGAAATAAGTTTAAGATTATAAAGATCGGATTGATAGGTGTGACTAATAGAATTCTACCGGCTAGAATGATTAGGAAAAAAATCGAGTAAGTGGGTTTACAAAAAAGGTTTGACGAAAGGAAAGAAAAGTACTGACAGGTTTTGGAAATCACTTGGTCTTTGATTGAGAATGGATCATCATCATCATTAGGATTGTTTGATGTTTTTAAAAACCAAGAATGGTGTTGGGTTTTGTGTTCGATAGATTGGATTTGATAAACTTTAGTTTCATGAATGATAAATAAACCTGCTTTAGATGTGTTGGGTTCGGGTAATCTTATGCTTGGTATGGATTTTAAATTTCTTAAACCTTTATCCAAATCATCAAAAAAATCAAAAAAATCAAAAAATATCAATCTTGATTAGTATTTGTTTTGTGTTTGTTTTTCTTTTGGAGGGTAATGGGGTTTTCGGTTGAGGTTTGGATGGATTATTAACTTTACAATTTGGTAAGATGATCGGATCTTTTATCATCTTTTCTTTGGTTTGTTTGTGTCCTTTTTACTTCAGAGAGGTTTGGTTGATTTGATCGAATGGATTTTTTTCGTACTGGGCTTTGATTTCGGGTTTGGGATATGGGACGACGGGACTCGATTTGAGGAATGATAAGTTGTACTGTTGATCTGAGGGGGTTCAAGAATTGAAGTATGGCAGTGAATGTGAATGGCATCGCGAGTCGCGTCCGCCGTCTGGTGAGTTGGTGTTGTTTGGAATGAAAACCGTGTTTGATAAAATGTAGTTTACAAATCAATAGTTTTCATTTCATCTTGATTCCCAATTGCCTTCCCCCATCGCCGTGGGCACAGAGCCAGCGAGGACTTGGTCAAGTTGTAACTAGTGTCAGGTATGATCTGCCGAAACGAAGAATGAAAATGTGACGGGAGGTAAGCTACACAAGTTTCACTACTTGCCATCTTGGCCTTAAAACAGCGGAACATGCCTGACTAGTGCAGATTCTTGCTGATCCAACGCGTTGCCTCCCTGCTCAAAATAGTAAATTGCAGCAGTGCATCAAAGGTGTTGAAACCTCGTGGAGTGGATTCGAAACCAAAGAAATCATTCATGATACTCATAACTAGCCGGTCTCAAGCTTTCAAACACAGAGTGGTTCGTACGCTAGGATGGCAAAACAGAAAACCTTTCAAAGCTCAACGCAAAGCTGCACCGTGCCAGACGAACGGCTATTCGAATATATAACGGGTCTACACCCTGCCTTAAGTCTTCGTTATACGCAACATGCGATCCATCATGTGTTTCACTCGACCATCGATACCTGTCGTCCTCCTCGCCTTTGCTCATGCCGTTGCATCGCACAACCCTCCAGTAGGCCTTCTGGGCGATTTGGGCGCTGCAAGACGTCAGTAGTGCTCTAACTAAGATTCACCACTATGTGCTACAATTTCCGCGCCACCCACCAGGGTCTCTTGCTAGAACATCTGTCCTAGGACATTATCTGTTCTCTTTTTTATGCCAAGATGATTTTCAGGCTAATTTGTTCATTTTGTTTTAAAATTGGGTACAGGTATGGTCGAAATGGGTGATGTGAACCCTGAGCACATTGTAACTTTCCGTCAGTCGTAGACTTGGTTCAATCATCTACAAGCAAAGTCTTCGAAACCTCTTGGCTCGTCTTTAAAATCTGAAGCGTACTACTTCTCATTTCTTTTTGAAATTAGGTTGGGATGCTTATGGACCTGATTCGATTCGTGAGCCAAAATGGATGCACGAAAAAGGCAAGTGAATTTGACTTTCCGTACTTTGATGGGTGATCTTAACACATAATAGTCTACCTCTCAAATCCAGATCTGTTTGTGCCACTTGCCACTTCACTAGTCGACAAGATTCGGGCGGACATGGCTCTCCGCACGGTTCCGATTGAGCACAAGGATATGTATTCATTCCCGGAGAATCTTCTCCTCCTGCTTATACGAATCGCCAAACAACCCATAGATGGGAACAAACCGTGGGAACTAAGCACACACCATCCTATAATTTTGAATTACTTGAATGCAGGTCAGTCTTAAGCCCCCACGAGCGTGTCTGCCGCGCCCTTAATGAGGCATGAAAAAAGAATCACACAAGCCTCACCAACATCACTGACTCGATACATTGACTTGATTTTTCTAGAGATGGAGACTTCGCTCGAAGCAAAGGACGTAGAACTTGCTAGCAGGTTACGGAGCCTACCTCTGAACACACAAACCGAAATCCTCGGGCGTGTTTCGATTCCAAGAGTCGAAACTCTAAGCAAACTCTTCAAGGAGCTTCGTGCAGACGATAAATTGCGCAGATTGATTTGGCAAGAAATGCAACTTTTGAGTTATTTTAGCCCAGTAGACCGAAAAGCCTTCAGGGATTTACACCTTGATGATACATTCTTGCGTGCTATCGTAAGGGCTCATTCCATTGAGTCCAAGAGAACTGGAGGCAAAGCTTGGTATGGGGGCATGTCGATGGGGGAAATTTCACTATCTGACGAACTAGCCGATAGGATTGTTCCTGCGAAACTTTCACCCTTAGCGGATTATTACCAAGACTATGATCGACTTCTTAATGGTACAGTCTATTGCCTTTATACCAGGTGGCTTTGCGAGACAATGAACCAGATTATTGATTCTTGTTGATTTCCTCCAACATGACTTCTTCCTACAGAGGGCAATGGCGAGCTGAAGGAAAGGCTAGATCGGTTTTTATTTACCCACGTCATGTCTCTCTCAAGCCATGTTCGCGAAAATAAGAACACTGCCCGTACTTTCGTTCCCAGACTTACTGAGCTACCCAACGGCTGGTGGCTACCTTCATCGCAAACTTCGATCGAGGGCGTAGTGCGACCACTAATCGATAAGCTCTTCGAAAGTCTACATTCAGATTTTATCACGGTAACCACAGCAATCAACGAAAAAAATGAAAAAGCGAGAGCTTCAGGCGTTCTCTCAGCCCTTTCATACCCCGACACAGATCCATACACAGCGATCCATGGTCGTCAAGCAAGTGTTTTGGCTAGATATCAAGCCATACGACATTTGTGCAAGTATTCAGGGATCGACATGCATCATGTCTTTTTAATTTCATTTCAAGACCCTCGAGCCGTTCGCCGTTGGTTAGCAGGTTTATCAAGATATTGGTCAGTGATAGATAATGTTAGAGTTACGGGTCAGAAGAGAAAGTGGCTAGACCTGGGTTGGAACTTGGGACCTCATCATTAGCTGAGGCACATGGGCTTTACTACTGGGCTATCCTGTCAATGAACTTCAACCCTGTTTCTGTTATGTGGGTCAGTTTTGTCACAGTCAATCTAAAATAGCTTGGCCTGTTGATTTTCTTTGAAATAATATTTGGGCCAATACAGGCACTGTTATGCTTATACATCCTTCAATCAAGATTGGGATATCTCAATTGAATTTGGGCTGTTGACCTACTGGCCACAGCTCAACCATGCTCATTGCCTCCAAACATCATTGTTCATCTCCATTCTTTCAAAATCCATTATGTACAGTATGACATTTGTCAAATACAGCCCTCAACTCAAAGTTATTGTCCTCAACCAATGGCTTCTAGGTCAATCAATTTCAGCAATCAACAATGAGCTTCTCACCAATATTTCTGCCAAGTCCTTCAGACAATGGAGAATTCTTCACAAATTCACTCACTCTGTCATCAGAAACACCATGACCTACAAAAAACAAGGCTGTCTGACTTTTTCTCCAAAGAACACCACAAGTTCATGATCAAGCTTATCAAAGACAATTCAACCCTTTTCCTGGATGAAGTTCAAGAAGCAATGTACAATCACACTGATTTAATTGCTTGTTGCCAGACTATTGCCAATGATCTGAAGGAGCGGCTCTTCTGAAAAGTTCCCACAGCATTGGAGGTTGATCCCAACCAATTGGCAGAACGTTGGGCAGCTTATTCCAAGCAGATTGCCAACATTGATCCCAAATGCCTTGTCTTCTTGGGTAAGTTCAACTTCTTTACTTGTCTTCAATTAATGATTCAGTAACTGACTTGTTGAGGTTATTTGCATCAATAAGACTAGACTGGTCTTACAATCACAAGAAGTCATGCCGAGCAGAGTGAGATCAAAGAAAGGTGAACATTCAGCCAAGTTGAAACAAAAATGATGTGGAGCCCATTACAGCATGCTTGCAGGCATATGTGAAATGGGGTTGCTTGCAGTACACTCAAAGGTCAACACATACATTCAAAAGGATTTTGAAGCGTCCCGCAAGCACATATTGCTAGGTTTCTCAGCTTCCTTTCTTCTCTTCTTTTACACATTCAATGAAGCTGGCTGTTTTTTAATTCATCCATTCCATCTGCCTGTGATGAACCAATACCCAGCTTGGATTTTGTTATTAGTGCTGGACAACTGCACCATCCATCATGGTGGTGCAATTGGACGTCTGTGCGGCTCATTGCGTGTTCTTGTCTGTTATTTAACACTATATCCACTGAATTTCAACCTGATCAAGTGGATATTCAGAGTCTTCAAAGATTGGCTCAGATGAAATCAGACTCTAGATGATGCAATTGATAAGCTAAGATGTTTGCTGGTGGTTATGAGTGAAGTATCCACAAGTAGACTGATCCAGAAACTTTATGAGACATGTGGGTATTATTGATACAATCTGTAGAAGCTCAAATAGTTCCATTCTATGAAGAAGTTTTTGATTGTGTGGTTTGCTCCAATCAAACTGATAAGGAAGTTGCTGGTGTGTGTGAACTTTGGCTCATGTCCACTGAATCCTGTTACACTCCTTACTTGTGAGAGTGGTTCAGTGTAAGGGAGTAGTTCAGTGTAAATTTTATTGCTTTTAATAAATTTCTAACTCATAGCTTCACGTTTTGCACTGCTATCTATCAATGCTCTTGGTATCACAGTTGTGGCACATTTAACATCATGAATAGTAATTTCATCAATGATCCTAGTATCTTCCATTTCAAGTGAGTTAATACAGTCAAACCCGCGCTAATGCATAAATTGGGGAGACAATTTTTGCTATGCATTATTGTGGGTTATGCAAATAGGCATAAACCCCCATAATGCATATTTGTATGCATTTAGGCCTAAATGCATTGAAATATGCATTATGACCGGTTTTTGTTGAAATTGTATAAGTTTATGCAATAGTACATTTGTATTTTGCGCAGGTACAAGGACAAGATATTTTTTTGACACAGAAAAAAACACCACTAGGGGTCGGTTTGACCCCATAGAGGGCTCATTGCTGCCTGATGTTGCCAAAATCCTACTTGCAAAGGATCCAATCAGAGTTCAATGGAAAAAAACACATCCTGGGCAACACCGCAAGCGCTACGCAACGCAATGGATTTTGACCTATTTCCATTGCGTTGCGCAGTCGGCGCATTATTACTCTACGCAACCACTCCGCAATGGGGTGTTTTTTTTCTAACTTGCTGTTGCGGAGCGGTTGGGCAAATATTGCGGAAAATGTGCAATATTGCCCTATTTCCGCAATATTTGCCCTAAATAACCGTCAAAAACTGACCGCAATTGCGGTGCGGGTTTCTGAGCAAGGGGTTTTTTGAACCCGGATTGCGGAGCACTGGCACCGCACTATATTGCGTTGCTATTGCGGCGCCCAAAAGCGCTACGCAACCGCACCGCAACTGCAACATAGTGCGGTGCTCTTGCGGTATTGTCCTGGGGCGCTTTATAGGCATGCATTATGACTTTGCGGACTTGAAAAGAAGTATGCATTATGGTCTTTGACATAATTATGCAATTAATGACAAAATTGGCCCACACCAGCTGGGTGGAAACCAAAACATATGCATTTTGGCTGGTTATGCATGTGCGCGGGTATGCATGTGCGCGGGTTTGACTGTATTACTATTGTCTGATGTTAAATCTATAGTGCTCAAGGGAGGCACAACTAGCACTCTTGAGTGTCACCATATTTTGATGATTCAGCTCTTCCTTCACACCATCAATTTCAGCTACTTTACTTCTAAATCTATTAAAACCTCCCCTTCCTCTCCACATTCCTCTACCTCCTCTTCTTTTCCGTGTAGGACATTCTCCAATAAAGTGGTCAGTTTGTCCACAGTTATAACATGCTTCAGCCAGTCCACATCTCTTGTATTCATTGTTGGAAACATTCGGTTGATAGGTGGAGCAGTCCATGATGTCAGGATCAAGAGGTGTGTTTGAGGTTGTAGGTGTTGCCGCAGTGGTCTTCATTTGATGATTTGACTCATTATTGTGTTCATTGATTTCATTGTCAATTTGAATTGCTAACCTTGCCATTTCTTCTACATCCTCAAATACATCTCTAACCATGTGAACTCTGATTTTGCCTTTTGACCCCTGTTTGACATGAGAAACAAGGACAGACTCAGGCAATTTGACAATTAGTGATAGTTCAGAGAAGTTGATCCAGTAGTCAGAAACTGATATGGTCTGGCGCAAAGCACATGTTTCTCTTTTGGCTTTTGTAAGTTGCTCTGAATCAAAGAATGTTGCCTTAAATGATTCTATAAACTTCTTCCAATTATAAAGTTTCATTTGTTCTTGATCTAACAACTGGTCAGTAAGTGATTGACCCCAGATACTAGCCTTTCCATTCATATATGACAATGCAAATGCTACTTGGGCCTGCTTGTTTATAAAGGAGGCAGTGTTCATCTCCATAGAAAAGAGATATTTGATTTATAAACACTTCAGCTTTTTTCCCTTTGGCGCCATCAAATTTGTTAGGAGTTGCAATTTTAGGAAGTCGGATCTGGGTTGTCAGTAGTTGTGCCAGTGCTTGATGATTATGCATTGCAGAAGTTGTTGGTACAGTTTCAGTTGAGGCTTGCTTGATCTTCACTTCTTTTCAATTTATCCCAGTTGTGTTCCGCTACTTGTCTTGATCTTGGTTCTTCATCTAACCGTGCATCCATTTCCTTCATCTTCCTCATAAGTTCCTCCACATTAACACTTGAAATAGAGGTGTCCATTCCATCGACAAAGGTCTCTTCTTGTTTGGAAGACGGGGAAACCGGAGATGTGAATTGTGGTGTTTTGATGGATTTACTAGGTTTGGTTAAAAGTTTAAACCTTCTTTTAAAGTTTGATACAAGATCTTGTACTGAACTGGATCAATGGAACTGTGCTTATGTCAAACTTCCTTTTGACTCTGATTGATTCAATTGTACAGTCGCCGCTCAATATAAGCAACCTTTTAAATGCAGAATACCTGATGCTTAAAGGGCGCAATGCGTCACTTCGAAGTAAGCATAAAAGCATATTTGGGAAGAAATTGACCCTAATGCTTATTTCATCAAGAACAAAATTGCATACAATTTTTATTGTAATTGGCATAGATACTTCATAGATAATAAAAAAGCATACAAAGTATAAAAGGGCATACAGAGCATAAGGGTGTATGTCTAGGACTATAACACGCACATCTAAGACATCAGGTTTTATTCACCTTCATGGAATAGTCTTGGGGCAAAGAAGTCGGTGATACATTTTTGATTCACAAATTTGAAGCGGGCAGTACTAACATCATTTCGAAGCGAGTGTAAGGCTGTGATGTGCTTGCTCCATTTGGGTCCCTGATCATCCAAGTCGCATGGTTGATGGTTCAGCGTGTAAATGATACTGTTGATGGCAGCAGAGACTTGAGAAAGTGGCATCAGCGGGAGTGTGAGAGCACTTTGATCATCATCATCCTTGGGATCGTTGGCCCCTACAGGTGTATTGGATACAGTACCTTGAATGATTTCTTCATCTGTTGGCATAACCAACTCGTGATCGGGTAGTTGATTTTCAATCTGAGGATTCAAAAGGTTTTTAATGCTGAGCCGATGGTTGGATTGGCATTCATCTAAACCTGGACAGTGATCGAGTTGCTTAAGAACACCCAAAGTTTGTTTGATGATATCTTGTAGATTGGTGTCGTTGGCGAGGTTTTCAAAATCATGGTCATTTGGCCGGATCAAGTGAGATACATGTGTTTTTAGCTCAACAGCTATTCCGGTATGCCGCCAACAGTTTGTAATGGTTTCAGATGTGACTGAATTCCATGCTACATTCGCCATCTGCATTGCTTTGAGGAGGGGTATCCGATAAATTTCACTTGCCAACTTCCCTGGATTATCTTCATAGCGTCCGATGATGAGTGAGATGAAGTCGCGGCAGTAGTAGGCTTTGAATGCTGCGATGATGCCAGCGTTGCATGGCTGGAGGACACTTGTGAGGTTCAGAGGAAGGAAATGGACCTTTATGTTTGTTAAGTTGATTGTTTTGACAGCTGATCGATGGCCTGAAAAGTTGTCTAACAGAAGGAGGACATGGTGTTCTAGTTTACGGAAATTGGTGTCAATTCTCTGAAGCCAGTCACCAAAGATTGTGCCAGTCATCCATGCATTCTTGTTGTGGGTGTATTGAAGACCATAATTGTGTGCCTTCTTGCGCTTGAATGAGGTTGGTTGAGCTGAACTACCAATAAAAAGTGCTGGAAGTTTGTCGCTACCGTCAGAATTTGTACAGACAAGGACTGAGATCCTTGATTTGTCCCCCTTCACGCCCGGCTTTTGTTTATCGGCTAAGGTCTTGTTTGGTGGCATTCTGAAGGAAAATTTTGTGAAACCAACATCAGCTGAGTTTCTAGGACTTAAACCGTCAGAATGAGCTGGAAGGATACATACCAATAGCATAGACCTGTCTCATCTCCATTGTAGATATCACAAGGCTGGTAGTTCTTTGTCTCCTCAAGTGGCTCAGCGCAAGCAGACTCAACATCTTTGGGGTTGACAGAAGATGCTTCACCGTGAAGTGTAACCTTTCAAAAGTTGTATCATTTTTTGAATTTAGTCATCCATCCATCAGAGCACTTCATCTTGATGTTAAGGATTGATGAAAAGTGTTGAGCTTTTTTGCGTAGAATATTGTTGTTTACCAGAAGATCTCGTTCACGAGCCTCAATGACCCAGTGGTAGAGGGCTACCTCAAGATGGGGATACTTGGCCAATTGCTGTTTACAAATTCCACCTCCGTTTGTTGCAGAATTGTTGCATATCTTCTCTTTGTCTCGGAGCCAGCGACTGATTACGGACTGCTTGATCTGAAAATGACGGGCAGTCTCTTGTTGAATTTTACGCCCATGACTGTTATGCCATGCAATAACTTCACTCTTGAAAGCCAGATCTAGCATTTACGTCTTGCAGGTTTTGGACTATGTTGTTTACTCTTCTTAGTGTTTCTTGGAGTCTCAACAATTGCATGTGATATCACTTGACGTTTTTGACCAGCTACAACTGGTGGTTTAGCCACCAAGCCATCACCAAGCATTGTACACGGTTTGGTTTTAGGCACTGTAGCACCAGAGCTGAGACGAAGGAAAGAAAAGAAGTCAAAGACCGTACCACAAGAGATGATAGATTCTACTCACCTTTCAGCTTATCACAAATTTTCTCAAGCTTTAGCTTAAGAAGCATTTGTCCGTTCACATCATTCTTCCAAGTTTCGTGACCACGTGCGCGACCAATCCACTTGAGCATCAGCTCAATTCCAAATGGCCCAGTAAAAAGCTTGGTATCAATCGCGTTAACACCAAAAATAGTATCCATGTTTCTGTTTATGAGCATTCCAATGCCCTCTTCAGCATCAAAAATCAAGAGCACCAGGGGTTCACAAAAATTTTGGAATATCTTGTCCGCTTGTGTTGCTGCTTGTATGGATCCAGCAGGACAATTCTGTGACAAAAGCATGGTAGAGGTGACGAGTTCATCTATTTTCTTATTGATTGAAGACATGTTGATTGAGGATGTAGAGCAGGATAGAATGCTGAAACAAAAGTGGTCTAGGGTTGACTTGATCAAATTTGATGGCTGGGTCTCACTCAAGCAGAATCGCCATCAGGATCTGGGTCCCACTGGCATACCCACTGATTTCTTTTTGCTAACTTACCCAAAGCCTGCGACGGTAGGGTAGAGTCCATTACATAACGTAGGGGGTCGGGCAAATGAGCGGTCAACTTACGGTCCCGGAGCCGGGGCCGAGAGAAGAGAAGAATTGTTCTGAAACGGAAGAAGGGAAAAAATTTTCCATTCCTTCTTCCAATCCAGTTTCTTCTTGCTCTCCTGTTCTCACCAGCTCTACTTGCCCCTTTCTAGTCATTTTCTCATTCTCTAAGCCAATAGAAAATTTTTGAACTACTTTCGCTTTTTGACTTCAGAAGTTACAAACACAACCTATTTTCCTAGTTTATTATATCACACTCTTCTAGTTAAAATGGATCAAGTTCAAAAAGACAAACTCATCTCGTCGAACAACAAACTTCATCAAATGCATTTGGAAGCAGAAGAGAAGAGGAGGGCGCAAGCGGAGAAGGAACGCATGCAAGCAGAAGACAGAGCTAGGCGCGCAGAATCTAGAGCACCTGCCTCAACCCAACCCCCACGTGAAGCTTTGGTGGATGTCAACGACGCTGACAACGACGGAGACCCGATTGATCCAACCGGCACTGCGGGTGGTTCTGGAGAGGCGAATGGTGAAGAAGGCGATGACGAGTCATCTGAAGCAGAAGAGAATGGAACCTTCAAGTCAGCCTTAAAGAAAAAGATTCAGATGAGACAAGACGGATCTCTTGTTCCTTCCTTAGAGAAGAGTATCAGAATAAAAGGTAAACTACCTTTCCAAGCTTTATCCTTTCTAGCCGTCAGACTATTGTCGGATGGCCGTCTGGCTGCCTAGTGCGCCGGCGCTGGACTCTTTCAGATCCATTGGAGATGCAGCCAGGAGCGCTCTCTTTGGGAGTCCGTAGAGATGCTGCCAGTGGCGCTCTCTGTCTTGTCAATTTATCCAAGACCGGACGAGTAGATCGTTGATTGATTCACGATCCCTTGAAGCGTGGTACATGCCACTGCGCAAGAGGGGCTGCTGTTAGCGCCAAATACGTCCACAATCAGCACGAGTGACAGTTCCTTACTGACTGTGTTATTGGTCCCTGCTTGATTTGTTGTGTGTCCACAGTCCCTTCGTCAGTCGAAGTCGACAAAGAACCTCAACAAGGCGCCTCCATCATGGATGAGCTCAACCATGCGGTTGAATTTGGGACTCTCGAAGAGGCCAAGGCTGCATTGGAGAAGGTTGACGCGATCCTGAAACGTTCAACACTTTTCAATCCCCCGAGAAACCGTCCCGAAGCTGTGGCGCCAGGACACGCCAGAAGACCAGGTGTGGTCCAAACGCCAAACTCGCATGCGAAGGCGGACAGGGCACCTGCTCAGGCGAAGGCCAACAAAGCTCTGGCACCGAACCCGAAGAGAAAGATCTCGAGGGACAGCGAGAATCCCTCCTCGTCATCCAGCTCCTCAGATGATAGCAAGTTGAAGAAGAAGCTGAAGAAGTGTTCTAAATCCAAGAAGAAGAAGTCCAGAAAGTCTTCAGATCCGGATTTGGGAGACTCAACTCCCTCTGAATCTTCCTCATCCGACGACTCGTCAGCAGTCAGTGCGGCGGAACTCGAGTGCAAAGCGGTGGATTTCACTTCAGCTGACCTCCCAGACTTGCCCACCAAGTGGGACAAGGGTTTCAAAAAACTCCGCGCTTATGTGCCATTGACAGTCTTCGTGAAATCATCCATTGAGGAGTGGCACGACCTAGACGACGACGAAAAGAAGAAGGCGAAGTCCTCAGCGATAAAGTCCACTGAAAAAGCCAAAGAGAAACAAATTACTTACGGCGAATTTATCGAGATGTGTGATCTCGAAGAGTGCTATGCGAGAGAGATCTACGGTCATAAAGACTATGCGAATTACGTCGAATCTCATAAGCAGATAGTTTCGAATTTAAAAAAGAAGCATAACTGCTGGATGGTCGCATTGCGGTACCACCTAGCGTTCCGCACAGTCATCTTCAGACGCCGCAAGTTGATCAAAACCAAAGTCGACGGCAAGGCGGTACTGAAAGACAAGATACGTGTTCCTAACGGCCTCCAGCCTTCAGTGGAGGAATCAGCCAGACGTGAGGCAGAAAGAGCGAACGATCTCGGCTTCGTAGACAATCCTTACGCGCCAGGAAAGCCTAAATTCGGCTTCAACTTCATGACTGGGCGGGAGCAAGTGGAAGACCTGGTCGGTGGTAGCAAGGCAGAGGAAGGCCCATCAAACGGCGCCAGTCCCTCGACTCATCGAGGCAAGAGGGGCGGCAATGGTAGAAAACCGTTCGTGAAGAGAGGAAATCATTCACAGAACAGGGGTTCGAGAAACCATAATAACCAAGGTGAAGGTTAGTGGTCGTGACCTCTGGGTGTTCCTCCTACCAATCAGTTTTACTCACCTGAACCCCGCTTCCGCTCGCTTATCCAATTTTTAGATACACAAGGAGCCGAGGTTTCTAATTCAAACAGCGGCTTCGCGAAGAAGAATACCTTCTATAAGAAAAATGGGTCAGCCACCGCACAGAAGTCACAGGGCGCAGACACGAATGAGAATCCTAGTGATCCTGTCCTACATGGGCTACTGGAGCAGAGCGAGTTAATTCCAGGTCCCCCTGATGAGGTGACACTCGAGCCGACAAGTTCAGATGAAGGAAGGTCATCCTCGTCGGCCTCGGAGAGCGAGTCTAGCGATGAAGTCTCGAGCGAGCAGAGTTCCACAGAGGAGCCCCTCCCCCTGTGGGAGAGGGAGATCTTCACAGTCCCAGTAGACAACCCTCCTTGGCCTGCGCCAGTACCAAGTAGGATGAACATAGGAGAATGGGAGGAGCTGATGAGAGAAGCTGGTTTGGAAAGATGCATCCCTTACATCAGCAATGGTTTTAGAAATGGATTCTGTTTAGGTATTCCTCAACACTCTGTCCAGGACTTACCGTGGTATACTCCCGCAAATCATAAGTCGGCACTCGAAGCTAAGACGCAGATCAAGCGCACATTGGCAAAAGAACTAGAAGCCGGCCGGATAGCAGGACCCTACACCCATGAAGAGCTACGACGGAGGTTCGGATTCTTTTGTTCAAATCCTATGGGTAGTGCTGTAAACGGCGACGGCTCGGTGCGGCTAATTAACAACCTGTTGTTTCCTAAAAGAGACCCGAAAATTCCGTCAGTTAATTCTTTCGTCAATAAGCATAACTATGGCACCCAGTGGGACGACTTCAACCGCGTCGCACGTTTCTTCAGACGGAACCCAGGAATATGGCTTTTAGCCATTTTCGACTGGCAGAAAGCTTATAGGCAGCTTTCAGTCCATCCTTGCCAGAGGCGCTTCTTGATTATTATGGACTTCCAAGGAAGGCTTTGGGTCGACCTAGCAGTTGGTTTCGGCGGGGTTGCCAGTTGCGGTGTCTTCGGCGCGCCGGCACACGTCTGGAAGATCATAATGGAACGTATCAGTGGCGTTACCAAAATCTTCCGCTGGGTCGACGATAACATCCTTTTCAAACGCCCGGAGAACCCAGTCACGCTAGAAACCGTGGAGATTCTGAGTAACAGCCTAGGAGTCCAGACTAATCCTGTAAAAAATCACGAATTTGCAGAGGAGCAGAGGTTTTTGGGATTTATCTGGAACGGAAGGGACCACACGGTCAGGCTTCCAGACGGAAAACTCCAGGAGAGACGGCGACAAATCAAGGACCTACTCAGTTCGAGGCCATGCTCATTCAAAACAATTGAGCAAGTTACTGGACGTCTGATTCACACAATGAACATAGTCCCCCATATGAAACCATATGTTAACTCCCTATATCGAATGATGAAAAGCTGGAAGAATACTGCCGCCCTCCATCACCTAACAGAGAGTGCAAGAAGTGACTTACAGGAGTGGGACCTATGTCTTAGTACCTTCAACTCGAGACCTCTGATACCGGAATCCAAAGCGCTCGAGATCAACTGGGCGGGGGACGCCTCCTCGTCTTTCGGCATAGGCGTGCTAGTGGGAGAACACTGGGCGTCCTTCAAGTTCGTAGAAGGATGGCAAACCAAAGGTTTGTTGGAGGATAAGCGCTCCATTGCTTGGGCAGAGACTGCAGCAATCAGACTTGGTATGCTGGTGGTACATAAGTTGAGGAGGGTAGAGGGTAAGCACTCTGACTTATGTACACACATTTTTCCATCTTCCAGTCGTCTCATTGTCCCCCTCGTGCCACTATAGGCAAGCGCTTTGTGGTCTGGACGGATAACACAACATCCCAGTCAACAGTCAACAAAAGAAAGTCCAAAGACGTCTGTGTGAATGGAGAGTGGAAGGCGATACAACGCTTACTCACGGTCCTCGGATGCAATGTAAAAGCGAAACATGTGACGTCTAAAGCTAACCCAGCGGACGGTTTGTCCAGAGGTATCCTGGGTTCGCTTCCGTGGAGCCACGAGGTCCGAATCGTCGTTCCAGAGGACTTGTCGCCCCTGATGTTTCAGGTTACGTTAGAGCCTACGCCGAAGCCCGTTCGGAGACCTCTGGTCCAAGATGATTCGTTATGATCCCTGTTTTCATCTCCCACACAACACTCATGAAAATCAGCCGAAATGAGGAAGAAACGGTCCAGTGAAGTCGCCACACCGTCGAACTTACGCAAAGTACTCAGGCCGTTCGGTGCATTTAGGAAGGATGCAGTGGGAAGAGATGATTTGGAGTTGGACGAGGTCAAGAAACATTTCCTGCAAGGGGCCTGGAGTGACGGAACCCTAAAAAGTTATAACTCGGGAATCATCAAGCTACATCGTTTCGCTACAGTCAAGGGTGTTGAAAGGTCGAAATTGCTCCCGATCTCATCTGCACTAATGAGGGAGTTCGTGGTGTGGGCATCCATGAAAGACAAAAAGTGGGCGGCAAACGACGAGTGTGTCAAATCGTCAACACTTAAGGCTTACATAGGCGGGATCAAAGCGTGGCATACCTATCACGGCGCAGAATACCCATCCAAGGTCGACCAGTCCATCAAGCCGCTGCTGAAAGCATCAAGGACAATTGAGGCGAGATTCGAGGAAGAAGATAGGAAGAGACCACCGGTCCTCCTGTCGGATCTTGTGATTCTGCTCGAGGTTCTGTCAGAACAAGGCGAAAAAGAGTTAGCAATGCTAACCGCGGCTCTTGTGGCATTCTGGGGTACCGCCAGATTAGGGGAATTGCTTACCGATGATCCTAAGAAAGTGATGCCGAGGTGGTACGATCTTGTTTGGGCGGAGGATAAGTCGTATCACTACACAAAATGTAATCTTTACCGGGCGGTAAAGAAAACTACTGACATAGAAAAGTCCGGAGGCAACAGGAAGAGAGCTAAAAATCTGGAAAAAAATGCACCTTGTTCCTAGATGTTGGGGCGTCATGATGAGTATTTTTTTGTATTTTACACACGGATATTGGTTAATGTACTAACAATAAAGGCTGAGAATCATCAAAAACCCACCGGTAACAATACCTGAAATTTGGCTCTTGACTTTGAAGACAGGATTTTGGAATCTTCAAACATCAATAACTTTTGCAGGTCTGAATCAAATCACTCAATTTGAAGTGCATTAAAAAGGTGAGCCTTTCCTTTACATTTTTCATTGAGACATCACATCTGTAGCTGGTCTAAAAAAGATCCTACAGAGCAATTCACGCAGAACTGTTTGAACATATGTAGAGTGTTTAAATGACTAGATAGCACCTTGCTAACATTATGAAGTGTGAAGGAGAATAGTCCAGCTTTTGAATGAACCAAAAATCGAGTTATTTGGAGCAGAATTGCAAAAGTTATTGAAGTTTTTAGATCACAAAATATTGTCTTCATACTCATGACCCAAATTTCAGGTATTGTTACATGTGAGTTTTTGATGATTTTCAGTGTTTATTGTTAGTACATAAACCAATATCTGCGTGTAAAGTACAAAAAAATACTCATCATGACGCCCCAACATCTAGGAACAAGGTGCATATTTTTTCAGATTTTTAGCTCTCTTCCTGTTGCCTCAGGACTTTTCTATGTCAGTAGTTTTCTTTACCGCCGGGTAAAGATTACATTTGGTGTAGTGGATCAGGTCACAAAAGACCTATTCCCGATTTGTAAAGAAAGAAACCCCTGAGTTTACAAATTCGTTAAAGTAATGACTAGTTTATTGAGTAGATAACCAGAAGTCCTTGAAATGATATACATAAGACTTTGGTTGACTCTTGAAGAGTACACTCACTCACACACTCCTAAAGCAACACACACAAAGAATAACATAACACACTCTCACACAGTACCACACCTATCAATCGCAAAGCGTGGTATACTAAATACCACGACATGTCCATCTGGTCAGATGGAAGGCATCCTAAGACTTAGCACAGTATCTTTACACTAACACTTGGGGTGCTTTCCATCTGGCCAGATGGAACTTGAAGGCACCCTAAGACTGAGTATGGTATCTTTACACTTTCACTCAAGTTTCAAGTGTTGAGGGTGCCTTCCATCTTGTACACGGGAAGTTTAAAGCTATGATTACATACAGGGGTACCTTCCATCTGACCACTTGGAAGCCACCCCAGTGGTGGAAATCAACGTAAACTGGGCCCATATTCATATCAGATGAATCCACATAACTTGTTCTGGATCTTATGTGCAGCTGAAGTTACAGTAAAGCTTTATTGAAAATGTATTGAAGCTTTCTTGAAACCTTTCTGAAGCTTTCATGAAGCTTTCATGGAGTCAATGGTAAGGTCTGGCCTGCCAGAGTCTAGTAGATGGGGGCTGTGATTACACTGGCAAATTGTTCTTGGAAGGCTTTCGGAGTCACTTGAAATAGTATATCTGAGTCCAGGAAATGTTCATGTCTGAGAGCTTGAATCATAGATTTGGGAACTGGAATTAGGCCATCTATACCATTCAACCCTTTGGGCAAGTAGTAGACTACATTAGGAATTGTACCTGTTGAAAAGACTGATTGCTTAAGTATTATTTATTTCAGTGTGTAGTCATCCAAGAGGTTTTGTACTATTGGGATCCAAAGATACAGGAAGAGCATCCTAAAAATCAAATGCTTGGTATAAGCAAAAAAACATATGAAATAAGGGGACAAACTTACTTCTGTAGAGGATCACATTCATCATATATTCCCAAATGTATAGCTGCCTCTATCTCATCATGAATCACCAAACCAATTGCTTTGCGTAAAAGTGACCAAAGACTTTCAATCTTCTGATTGTGTTGAGAGGTTGTATAGAGATGAGCTGATTCAGCTTCTTCAGGAGTAAAACCACAATAAATCTGAGCTAATGACATTTGAAAGCCAGCCATCTCAGTTCCATGATCTGTGAAAGTCTTTTGATCCACGTGTCCCAACTCACTTATCTTTCTTTGAAGATGACTCTGCCTCCACCAGCTATTGCTGGTTGAGCACAGAGCCTGTGTGGGCTAGAAGCCCTCACAAGTCTTTGGAAAGGCTATGTGAGGACTACTTTGAGGAGGTCACCTTTTGATATTTCTTTGAGTGGGCTTTCTTACCTTGTCTTAGAAACATTGAAAAAGGAGCAATCTCTTAGAAAGACGTGGGCAGGAGCCAGAGTCTCCCTAAAAGGGGATCATGATTCCCCTTTCCTTGTAGGGAGGGTTGGATGGTCAAAAATTCTAATGGAAACCTTTTCTGGGCTTCAACAGGATTTTTATTTGGATTAAATTGAGTAAAGCGGATAATTTGGATCACTACTCTTAGTTTGGTTAATGTAAGGGAAATTCAAACGATGAAAAATCTGGACAAGAGAATAAAATGAGCAGGTCTTCAAGAAGTCTTACTAGACTCTTCTTTTTATACCTCCCATATCTCCCAATCCTGGGAGCTACACATAGAGAGTGACATGGGATTTTCTACATTTCCTTATGTCACTTCCCAATAGGGAATATCAAATTAGCTATTGCTAAGTTTGCTCTCTAGATTTCCTCCCATTTAACCTAATTCTTGATTTCTCAAGGCATGCCTATTTGGACGTGCTCCAAATTTTGTGCCTTATGTAAAGTTGGAGGAATTCCTCCCAATTTTTCAACAATTTCCAGATAGTGATATGTGATTCTCCGAGGATCATTATTATTAACACCAACATATAATCCCAAGACCTTTCTAGACCAAGCATCAATGAAAATGTAAATTCTAATTCCAAAAGGCTTGAGTTTATCATGCCCATCACTAGACCAGACATGATTTGGACCATCAACATGAAATACCCACCTCTTCAATTGCCCTTGATGTTGCGCAGCAACACCCTCTGGGTCAATGTTGAAGTAAAGTTTGGACTGTGTTTTGGTTGACTCAAATATTATGTAATACAGCCAAGACATTCTTCATGTGTTGTATCCCAGTATCACAATGTGAACCACATATTATCAATTCCATTTGTTCAATCAGGAGCTCTGGGACTACTAGTCCAGTTTGGAGATCATCCTTCTTCCAGCTAAGTGACAAATCTGGGGATATCTTGCGCACATCATACATATTGATCATAATACCTTTATCTCCCTTGATCTGATCAATGGCTTCTTTCTTTTGATAGCCACATTTATTGGATTCTATGAGGAGTTCTTCTACTAGTGCTTTATTTTGAGGTGGAAATTCATTGTAGGTGGTAATGATACCAAAAATTTGAAGGCGGCAAGTAAGAGTCGTACATGAGATTTTGATCCCCATTCCATCAAGATGTGAGAGTATCTCATCTCTTTTCATTGCAGCTGCAACACACTAGCGTATAGCATGCTCTTCAATCTCTTGATGATACACAGCATTGTTGTTGTTGTCAGATTCAAAATGAGAGTAATTTTGAGCTATATTTTGATGCTACATTTTGGCAATGTAATTTTCAATTGGTGAAGGAGAAGGGTACAAGATTGACAAATTTGAGCAAAATGAGACAATGACTGATGAAAGATATTGAGAAAATCTTGGTTGGAATCTCTGGTTTTCCACCAAGTAGGATACAACCTATATATAATATGTTTGATAAGATAAAGAAAATTAAGGATGATGGTGGTGCATGAGGAGTCAATTGATGAAATCAAAATCCTGGTCAAATTGAAAATTGGCTGGTCACGATTTTGTCAAAGTGCAAAAGCACAACAACCTCAGTGCATAGCACATAGCCAAGTGCACAGTGCATAGTGCACAAGTTGGTGCTCACACTTAAAATTGTTTTCAAAATCTCATATATCATTTCAATCATTGTTTGTAAATTCCTGAGATCCTTTGTTTTGAACTATATGTTCTCACTCACACAAATATCTGATGTAAAACGGGTCATACATGTCAGACATGGAGGCCATCTTTGAAACATCAGTTTCTATCTATGGTTGTCTGCTTTTTTTTGTTATGGCTGTTTCTCTTTTCTCAATCTCTAACTGAAAGATTTTGAGATTTTTATGTCTTTATGGCAGCAACAATCACAAATATGGATTTCAAACAACTAAAACAAGAAATCAGTAAAATAAAATAAAACAAACTTTCATAAAGACATGTAGACAACAATCAGTACCCAAAACAAGATCAACACTGGTAAGAACTTGGTGAGTTTAGATGACTATCATGGCTGTGGGATGATCCCTACTATGTCTACAATAAGAAATGTTGATACATGCATTTGATGTTCTTTTATGTGCAAATTTTAATTACCTGAAGCAATAGATAGGTAGCAGACTCCTTCTGCAGTCAGTTACTATCAACGAGACTATGTGTTGTGGTGATTTGTTGGTTAGATCTTTGATGGGTAAAATTATAGAGATTGATAATAGATGGAAAATGAAAGATATTAGGTGAAAACAAAATAGACACAGCTAAGATTCAAGGGGTACTTTCTCATTTAAAATTAGACACAGATAGGAGCTTAGATGCTAGAGCTCATGAGAAAACATCAACCCTTATACCAATTATCAATCACCATTTATTTCAATTTTACCCAATTGATAATTTGTTATGTAGACTTCCTTCAACACCATCCTTGTCTTCATACCAGGGATGATTTCAAATACACAACATTAACCACCATGCTAGTAATACTTGCCTCTGTGGCCGCTAATAGTGAACCCAGATACTTAGTATTAGTGAAAGATTCTTTCCCATTTGGATAAAGAGCTTAACCAGCGGGAAACAGCTCTATAGTCTCGGAATGAATGTGATAAGATTTCGTTCAAATCGATTCCTGCATACTTGCACAAATGTTGTGCAGCTTGAACTCTAGCCAAGATCCTTCCTTGACGACCTTCGATTCCTGCGTATGGTTGGGTTTCAGGGTTTTGAGGCATATATGAACCATATAAACGGCTTTCTCTGTTGGTTTTTACTACCGTGGTAAAATCTGAATGTATACTTTCGAAGAGCTCTTTGACTAATGGGCTCACTTCGCCTTCGATCGAAATTTGTGATGAAGTTAGCCACCAGCCCGTGGGCAGCTTAGTAAGTTTGGGAACGAGGGCACTGGTAGTGTCCGTATCTTCGAGAACAGTGCCTGAGCCAGAGATGACGTAGGTAATCAGAAACCGATCTAGCCTTTCCTTCAACTCGCCATTGCCCTCTGTGTGAAGAAGATGCGTTGGAGGAATAAACAAGAATAAATAATCCGGTTCATCGTGTCACAAAGCAATCAGGTATAAAGGTAATAGACTGTACCATTGAGAAGTCGATCATAGTCTTGGTAATAATCTGCGAACGGCGAAAGTTTCGCAGGAAGGATTCTACTTGCTAGTTTGTCAGATAGTGAAATCGGCTCAGATTCAATCGCCATGCCTCCATACCAAGCTCTGCCTTCAGCTCTCCTGGAATCAAATGAATGAGCCTGGACAATAGCACTTAAGAATTCATCATCGAGGTGTAAATTTCGAAACGCGTGTCGGTCTACTTGACTAAAATAACTCAAAAGTTGCATTTCTTGCCAAATCAAACTACGCAATGCATCCTCTGAAGGGAGCTCCTTGAAGAGTTTGCTTAGAGGTTCAACTCTTGGAATTGAAACACGCTCGAGGATTTGAGTTTGTGTGTCCAGAGGGAGGCTCCGTAACTTACTAGCAAGTTCTACGTCCTCTGCTTCGAGTGACGTCTTCATTTCTAGAAAAATAATGTCGGTGCTCGAGTCAGTGATGTTTGTGAGGCTTGTGTGATTCTTTCTTCATGCCACTTCGAGGGTGCGGCAGACACGCTCGCGAGGGGCTTAGGACTGACCAGCATTCAAGTAGTTTAAAATTATTGGATGGTGCATACTTACTTCCCACGGTTTGTTCCCATATGTGGGTTGTTTGGCAATTCGTATAAGCAGGAAAAGAAGATTCTCCGGGAATGAATACAAGTCCTTGTGCTCAATCGGAACCGTGCGGAGAGCCATGTTCGCCCGAATCTTGTCAACTAGTGAAGTGGCAAGCGGCACAAACAGATCTGGATTTGAGAGGTAGATTATTATGTGTTAAGATCACGCATCGAAGTACGGAAAGTCGAATCGACTTGCCTTTCTCGTGCATCCATTTTGGCTCACGAATTGAATTCGGTCCATAAGGATTCCAACCTAATCTCAAAAAGAAACGAGAAGTAGTACGCTTCAGATTTTAGAGACGAGCCGGGAGTTTTCGAAGACTTTGTTTGTAGAAGATTGAACCAAGTCTACGACTGACGGTATGTTACAATGCGCTCAGGGTCCACATCACCCATTTCGACCATACCTGCAGCCAATTTTAAAACAATCAACGAATCAGCCTGAAAGTCGTCTGGGCATGAAAAAGAGAACAGATAATGTCCTAGAGCAGATGTTCTAGCAAGAGACCCTGGTGGGTGGCGCGGAAATTGTAGCAAATAGGGGTGAATCTTAGTTAGGGCACTACTGACGTCTTGCAGCGCCCAGATCACCCAGAAGGCCTACGGGAGGGTTGTGCGATGCAACGGCATGTGCAAAAGCGAGGAGGACGACAAGTATCGATGGTCGGGTGAAACGCATGATCAATCGCATGTTGCGTATAACAAAAACCATAGAAAGGGTGTAAGCACATTATATATTTGGATAGCTGTTGGTCTGGCACGAACTTGACCTCTGAGATGTCTGTTTGTTTCCATCCTAGCGTTTGTACCACTCCGTGTTTTAAATATTCAAACCTGCTAGCTAGTATCATGAAGGATTTGTTTGGTTCGAGTCCTCTTGATCATGAGGTTCCGACACTTTTCGCAGCGGCAATACAATATTTTGTTTCTTGAACACGACCGCAACACGTTAGATCAGCAAGGCTATACCTGCACTAGTCCGCCATTTTCACCTCTGCTACGGCCAAGATGGCTCTGTCTCACCTTTTTTTGGTTTGGATCTTTATGCAATTATCCCATTTTCTTTATTTGTTTTGGTAGACATGTAAAGACTCAAGCACATACATACCGCAAGATGTCGTGGATTTCTCTAAACAGAAGTGTTTCATGTCAGGCACCTGTTGATCCACAGATCATGTGGTCGTCATAAATGTTTCATATGCAGTGGTCCGGCGAATTTGGAAGTGTGAATTCCAAAAAAGAAGGTGGGGTTAGAGACTGCTGATAGCTGATTTGTTCAATCCAACAGTCTTGGTGGCATTGGCAAGCAAGGAACAGCACTGCTTGAAGCATATCACAGTGTCGCTATCATTTCATTGTCAGTGAGACTGTTAATTCCTTTTTTGAATGAGAACCGTGTTTGTGTAAATATAGTTTTAAAATACACAGTTTTCCCTTCACCTCGATCAAGTTCCAATCCACAAACGAACTTGATACAACTCTCGCATCAAATTTTCATACCCAACACAGCCTACCCAACACTTCAAGACTTCAAACCATGAACAATTCTTTACCTAATTTAATTCTATACCTTTCCAAACCAAGTCAATAAAGAACCCCAAATTATCAAAATCATGAAACTAAAATCTTTAGAAACCTTTTTACAATCCCTTGAAGGATTTCGTTAGTATAATGAACATTTTCTACTATGAAGAAAAATCGAGTCATAAACTAATCTTTGAAAACCGCTTTTTGAATAAAAAAATCGCTCATGATAATCAGGTACACCAAAAGTCGAATTAGAACAATATGTAAGAAAAAAAGTTTACCTTCAAATTCATTCATCAAAGAATAAGTCAATAAATAACAAAAACTGAACTAATTTCGAATTTACTTTTTTTCTTTTTCTTTTTTTGGATCTGTAATATATAGGTAACTTCTGCTCATTTAGCTTCAAGAATGATTTTTACAGCTCATAATAACTTTAATCAAATCTTAAATAAATCAATTCTAGACTTAGGTTCAGGTACTGGTTTACTTTCAATTGCATGTTCTTATTTAGGTTCAAAGTTTAGTCGTTTTATCCAAATCACAATAACGACACTTTTTTTTCTTTTTCATTAACTTTTCTTTCTTTTTCATTAAAAACAATAGTAATAATCATCTAATTGAAATTTGGTTTTGATTCTTTTGGGGGCGGGTTTGCAAAATAAGGTCTGTTCTTGGTGTTGAATTAGATACAGATGCGATTGAAATCGGGTTAGAAAATTTAAAGAAATTGGATTCGAAAGAAGCAGAAGATTCAGATTCAGAATCAGAATCAGAATCAGAGGAATCAGAACAAGAATCAGAACAAGAACCTAGAGATTCAGGATCAGAACCAAAAGAATCAAAAGATGAAGATGAATCAAATAAAGAAGACGAAGTAAATCCAAAAAACTCAATCGAATTCATTCAATTAGACCTCTCAAATCCAAATTTCTTAAACCAATTAAAATCATCAATTCCAAAATCCATTAAACCCACAAGTCTAGATCCATTATTATTTGATACAGTGGTAAGCTATCAATTTTTTTGGTCGATTTTCTTCTCTATGATACAGTTCTTTGCTTTTTTTTTGAAAAAATTGAATCCGATTTCTTATATTGAATTCTTGATTAGGTGATGAATCCACCCTTTGGTACCAAACGTAAAGGAATCGATATGGTCTTTCTAGAAATAGCTTGTCAAGTCAGTTTGATTTCTTCTAGATTTTTTCTTTCTCCTCTTCATTCCCCTTGATCTAACTCTTAATCAATCTTAAACAGTTAGCTAAATCAGAAATCTATTCACTTCATAAATCTTCCACTCGAGATTATATTCAAAGGAAATCAAAACAATGGGGTTTCAATGGTCAAGTAATAGCCGAAATGAGGGTGAATTGATCTTCTTCTTCTTCTATACGTTCATCATTCATCAATCCCAATCTGATGCCTCTTGCTCCTCTACAGTATGATTTACCTAAAACTTTAAAAATGCATAAAGTTAAAAGTTTAGATATTCAAGTTGATCTTTGGAGATTTGATCGAATTAAAGCTTTATAAAGTAATGGTTATTAAATAAAATCCATCTATTCTCCAAGATTCACTTTGGACGGTTTTCGGAATTGCCCATCATCATCAAAGTTCTGTCAAAGAGGATTTAAACTCTCCAATTAAATTGTGACTTTGTGACTAAAGTTTATAAACTTCTTCTTGATGATAGCCTAATTCTTTCAACATTCCACCTAATTCACCTTGTGAGACCATATCAGAGCCTTTTGAACCTGCAATAGCTTTGACCATCCTATCCAACCAAAAAGTAACGCGATGATCTTAACCAGATATACTCAACAAAAGGATTAAAAGAAATCTAGCTTACGAATCAGGTCCACAAACAAGTATGATCCTTTGACGATTGATCTGATCAGACCCCATTCCAATCCACTTCTTCAAATCATTAATCTCCAATTTCCCAATCTTATCAACCAACACATTCGATTGGTTATCACAAGAAGGTTGTGTAATCACTTTGTGAATTTCAAGATTTGAATCAAGATTGGAATACTTTAAAAGTTCTTCATTTAAATAAATCGCATCTTTTGATTTTGAAAGATATATGATCTTCATTTTCGGAATCGAATGTGTTAAATTTTCATGACTTTGTTCAGGACCATAAAACCTACGTAACAATTGAATGACAGGTGTGATTCCTGTTCCTCCAACGATCTATACCGAAACCAAAAAAAGAATCAAGATCCAGATGAGTGATCCAATAAGACATTTGTTTTGAATGGTAAAAAAAACTTACAAAAACAATTTCATTTAGATTATCATTTGGATGACACCAATTCAATTCAGGTCCTCTAATTTCAATCAATCGGTTTGGGTCAGTAGACTTAAACCTTTTTAAATAATTCGAAACTTCACCATCCGAATAAGATTTCACCAAGAATTCGATCCAAGTAGATTGATTTGAACAAATGGTATTTAAGTTTGTATAAGCTCTTTCGATTTGTAATTCTGGATGTTTAATATAAACCGATTGTAAATAAAACAAATGATTTGGTAAGTTGATTTGGTTTGATGTTTTGATTTCAATTGAAAATAAATTCGTTTGCTCGTTTAAGGGTCTTATGAATTGGATTTTGAATTTTTCGTATTGGTTTGGTTTGATTGGTCTGTTGGTTTGATGATGAGTTGAGTTTATATAAAGGATTCCTGTGCTCATGAAGAGTATCAAAGCACTCAAAGTTTGGTAATTGAGTTTGGGTTTGATGGTTTGGTTTGAGTGCTGATTTGAGTGAAGAGTTGAATGATGGCATTTTGAAAGTCGAATTGAGTTTTGATGAAAGTAAAAGTGTTGAGAATGAGAATGAGAATAGTTGGTTCTGGTGAATATCAAATTGGTCAACAACTTTCGATCGATCATTTTGGATTTTCATTTCAATTTGACAAATTCACTTTCAAACTTATTCAAAACCACTTTCAACTTAATCACATAACCTGCTTAAGTACATACCTAGACTTCAATCATAGCCACGTGACTTTGAAAAAGAAATGCTGGGAAATGTTAAACTCGCGGACTGTCGGATGGCTATGAGAAAAAACCGCAATCAAACAAACCACTGGCACACTGCTGATCCAGACGAGATTGGGTGGAGTTGATGCTCTCTTTGATCAACCACTCGAGGGTGTCACTGTCAGTGACTTGGGGCATGTCGTCCATTTTCGACGTCTCTGGATTATTATCTTGGGTTGTTTAAAGTGCTTGATCAGAAAGCTCAGCCTGTTGACTATGTACCTACCGCGCCATATCAGCTGATTCAAAATTGCTTCCAATATTAGACCACATCCTTCACGCCAAATTTTATGTTGAGATGAACCAGGATCCAAGATCAATCTTCGAAGAAGATAAGCTAGAATAAACAACCAAAGATAAAGAACTAGGCACAGACGTCCAGAATAGTACTAGTAGGCTATCCAAGAAATTTTCAAGGAACTGATCAAGGAAGAATCTGGGTTGGTAATGTTCATTTTCTTCAATATGAACAGAATGAGAATTACTTACCTTTACAAGTTAAAGGGAATATCGAGACGTGGTTGAAAGTACTGGTATTCAACACCTGTTCAAGATTACAAAGTATGATCAGGAAAAAATCAACGATGTGAAAGATAAATTCAGGTTGGACAAAGAACAGAGTACTATTAGGCAGTCTTGCAACAAGGTTAGGCAACCAGGTTGAGCCATAGATCATGAGAAGGAGAATTCAACATCAGTCAAGATCAAATATAGTGTAGTGAGCATGAAATCAGAACCGAAGGAGGCAATTCCTTGTCAGTTTAACAAACCAACTACAGTGTAAATAATTGTTAGCTAAAATCGAGGTTTAACACCAAATATCAAAACAAATACAGACCTGATTGGTGTATGATACAGATTGATTGCACTGTGGAAGCCAAAAGTGATTTGAAGAAAAATGGAAGTGAGTAAAGGCCTTGATGGAACATATTAATTGTGATTGAATCATCTTTGTTTTGTGTGTTCAAATCATCTTGGTAAACGTTGAAAAGAGTAATGCTCTATAGAAATGGCCGAGTCTTTTGAAGATCCAATCATGATCTTATAGACCATGAAAGAGTAATACCATCCAGCTTACTAGGGACGGAAAAATTGATGAATCGAATCATTCCGGGCAGTGCCTATGTCACTGAACATCTACACAAAGCTTTGATCTTGTAAGATTGTTTAACGTCGGGAGGCCGCCATCAATAATGGGGTCATTTTTATCCTCTGATTCCTCGTGATTGGTTGTATCTCACTCTAGAAGGAAACCATTAATACTTTGTCGATTTGGAAAGGTCATCTGGACTGAAAAGTACAGCTGTGTCTTGCTTGTCTGAAGCACATACAATTACTCAGATCTGTCTTTTATAGACGCCAGATGAGCTCAATATCATGGCCTCCAGCAAACGCCGTTGTCAACGGAAATTGGTGGGAGTCACACAACTTGGACAAGTGAGTGACTGAATTGGGAAGCGGGACCTCTAATCAGATAAAATCCATTTGCTAAAACTCTAAAATCTACATTATGATTGATCACTGGTTTGTGGCGCGCTGAAACGGTACCACTCCAGAAGTCTGAGCAAGTCTCCAGACGGAAGCTCTGAATAGCTGAAAGACGATAAGTATGACAAAGTCTAGGGGCGAAGATGCTCTCATACTCGGTTCAATTAAGCCATCCAGGCGTCTCACCTTATTTGCTGAGCGTCAATCTAAAACTATCCGCATCTTGGTTTGAGATGTGTTTGTGTATTTTGGATAAGTGTTATTGATACGATGGCAAATTTCATATGTGAAGATTGAAGAAGAATAATGCTAAGCATCCTCTCTCATTGCTAGCACACGATGAGTCTAATGAATCAAGCTCATTCACCAGACCCTCAGCATCATCTAGCGTGTTTAATCGCCAGCGGTTTGAATTGCCTGATGTCACGCAGATGTGATAAAAAATCTATATCCTTTGAGATCTCGAATGACAGTCCAAGAACAGCAATGAATGAACTATTTTAATCCCTTAGCAGTAAGATTCTGAGAGCTCTGCTCGAATTTTGATAATGTGGACAAATTTATCAATGCTTTCAAATCCTTATTTGGTACCACATCATAAAGAGTTATGGATAAAAGAGGGCTTGTAAAGGAAAAATTGACAAACTAGCACTCAACAATTTATTGGAAGTCTCATATATAGATACGGAAAAGCACGTGGTTGAAGGAAACAAACAACACGTAGAAAATACACTACAAACTGAAGTCCTTATACATCCGGAATACCAACAGACTGGCCTCGGCCAGTCTTTTAATCCTTCTCCTTTTCTTCAGTACCGTCGGCAACCTTATCAGAGTAGATTTCTTCTAGGACTCTTTCCGGCGCAGTCTTTCAAGCTGATCCGCCAATCATAAAGCTCGTCAAGCCTTTGCTTTGTTTTGAAGAGTTCTTCACTCCCACCTCACCACTTCTACCCTTTATCACAACAGACCAAGCTATCCTCTAGAGTACCTCGTCAAAACCAACCATCCTCTCTACACCACCTCCTCCTACTATATACTACAATAGTTTCACTCTATACTACTCTCGATCTATCCTGAATCCACTGGCTTTGATCCGATAAGATGGATCCTCTCGATTCTTGTGTTTCTGATTACGCGAATCTTTCTCTTGATCCTATCAATACCCCCGAGTCGATCTCTGCTGCCAAGTCTGAAGACATGAAGAGTTCGATTGACTCTGTCAACTTCCAGTCTTCCGGATCAATTCAAAGTTATGTGCAATTCTCCTTTTGGATCATTCTTCAGTCCTTTTCCTTGTGTTCCATCTTGATTGGAAACTAAGGTGGTCGATCCTTTTCCTTTTCAGTTCCGAGGTCTCAACTTCAAATACCCTCGAGTCAATCTCTACTGCCGAGTCTGAAGACGCAAAGAGTACAACTGACTCTGCTGAGTCAATTCAAAGGTATGTGCTTAATTTTCCTTTGTGTTCTCCTTCAATTTTTTTTGCCTTGTCTTTCATCTTGAATGAAAACTAAGGTAATCAATCCTTTTCCTTTTCAGTTCCGAGGTCTCAACTTCAAATACCCTTGAGTTGATCTCTACTGCCGAGTCTGAAGACGCGAAGGGTACAACTGACTCTGCTGAGTCAATTCAAAGGTATGTGATTAATTCTCCTTTGGATTCTCCTTCAATTTTTTTGCCTTGTGTTTCGTCTTACTGAGATATGTACAATGTGATCGATCCTTGTCCTTTTCAGTCCCAAGGTCTTGACTTTAAATACGCTCGAGTTGATCTCTACTGCCGAGTCTGAAGACGCGAAGGGTACAACTGACTCTGCTGAGTCAATTCAAAGGTATGCGCTTAATTTTCCTTTGGATTCTCCTTCATTTTTTTTGCCTTTTGTTTTGTCTTACTGAAATATGTATAACGTGATCGATTGTTTTTGTTTTTAGCTCTGAGGTCTCTACTCCATCTGTTCGAAGCCACGAAGTCTACGTCTTTGTTGGTCCTCCTCGTTCTTGACTTCAAAGGTCAAAGAAGATCGGATCGCTCTGTACTATCCAGGAGAACTCTGAATCATCCTGTCATCCTGAGCACCTCTAAAGGATGAAAATTTAGAAGTTCTTAGGTTGAATGTGATGCTTACGAAATGTATACTGCGAAGTTGAACTCCTGGTTTAGGTCCTTCGAGTTTATTTTTCGGTTCTTCGTAAACTGTAGATAGGAAATTATAATTGTTAGTTATAATTCAACTTAGGTGCAGGATGGATACTGCTGCCCGGTACTCACCAATGATCTTAATCAACTGGTCGTCTTCCAAAGGGAATGCTAAGACTAGCAAACAATCCTTGAGGTTACACTTGAGTGTTGGGTGATTTGTAGTAAATCAAATGGGATGAAGGACTTTAGTCGAATGGCCTGAACCAACGATCTGTAACGCCTTCGAAGAGATAATAAAATGACAAAGAGAAAAGATAACAAGCTTCAGAGTAAGAACTACGAGTAGATACTAAAGATTGCTATCTGGGTAACAGTAGTTCAGATTGGAGAAGTTTGATAATGGAAGAAAAAAGGTTTTGGAAGAGGCTTTTCTAAAAACGGGGAAAACAGAAAGATAAGTCTTTTTAAAAGTTGAGTCTAATAGTAGTTGTAGTGGGATACAATTTCTCAACCAATTTTTCATACCGGGCTAACAACACCACATATTTCTGGGGTGGGAGAATTTTACACCGAGCACTTTACACCGGCCACCCCGGTGTAAAGTCAACTCGGTGTAAAATTCGAACAAAGGGCCCTTTTTTCGAATTTTGTACTTTCTTTTTTTTTTTGGTCTGTGCAAAAAACCCCGGTGCAAAAACTCCGGTGTAAATACACGGGACCCCAGCGTAACATGTAATTTTACACAGACACTTTTACACCATAAATTACGGTGTAAGGAGTTCCTGTGTAAATGTCCGAGACCCGAGCCCAGGTGTGAATTTTGCACCGGGTCAAGTTACACAGACCACGTTCGGTGCAAAAGGTCCCAGTGTAATATTACCACAAAAGGTACCATATTACAATTTTACACCGATCGATCATTTCACACCGCTCGGCATCCATACTTCAAGAAAACTATGGATGTGCTTCCCATAAGGACAAACAAATGAGCTCAGTACCTCCAATATCAAGGAGAAGGGGCACAAATACTATTACAAATAAACATATACCTATACCCTCATATCCGTGCGAGACCATGAGACGCATGAGGTGGAAGTAGATGTAACGTGGTCAAATTGTGGTGAATATCCTCCAAAGACCACTTCCTTTCCTTCCTGAACCACATCAGCTTGGTCCATCTATCATCAATCTCCTTCGACGCCACCATTTCCGTACCTTAAAGCGCAATCAAATCCCAGATGGGAACCGCCACATCACGCTATGATGGTAGCATTGCAACGAGTCCAATCCATCCCTCTCGACATAAGCCCAGTGTTCCTCTTTGTGAACATGAACCTCGCTCGACTTGTTCAGAAGATACAAGCCCAATTGATATACCTTCATCACAAATTACGTGTTCCGACGATGACATGGACCTATTTCGACCTAAATCACCCATGGATACATGTCAAGCCAACTTGGTGTTGAGGCATTTGTCTTGCAAAGAAGCAAAATCGACATCTTCTTATTTCACAGAGGAAAATCTAACTTTGTCTTATTCCGACGATTTCATAAATCCAATTGATATACCTTCATCACAAATAACTTGTTCTGAAGACACACATCTAATTGACTCACTTCCGAATTCACCTATTGATAAATATTCATCGTCCTTTTCTGCCTTTCAAAGTCAAAAGTTTTCAGCCTTTTCTTCACCTCCGGCCTCAATGATCGAGATCTCATCATCACCTGTTGCAAAGGTTGCAGCAACTGCAAACGCTAGTCAGGAAAGACCGCGCCGCACCAATCTCCAACTACCTACCGATAAATCTATGTATCAAACATACATTGATCACAGTTGTGAAGTTGACGAGCAAGACTATCCCGTCTTTCCAAACGGCGCAACGATATATGTCAATGACCCAGAACATCCCGCCACCAATTTCCGCTTCATTGGTTGGACTCATACTATGCGAACCGAAAAAACAAAAAAAAAAAATGGATAGTTAGACGTTATTACTGTTTGGGAGTGATGAAATGCTCCGAGCAAAGTTGTCCTTTGGCTGCTTTGCCACCGACAGGCGCCAACAAAATAACTGAAGACTCGTGAGTGCTGGCCCTTTTGTCTCTCACGCTTGTGGTTCAATTTAGCCTAAGTTTTTCATTTGATTTCATTTCTCCTTATTCATATATTCCTCGGACATATTAAGGCCTTGTCCTATATCTTCCTGCGACGGCCATCAAACACATGTCCAATGCGACACCATGTGTCGAATTGATGTAGAGTTAGATGATCATGGCGAGGAACAGTGGGGTCTCCTCCGTCATCAAGGTACTCATAAACACGAGTGGGCAGAGGCGAAGAAAGCCGATCCCATTGCAAAAGAGCAGTTGAAAGACAAAGTCCTCAATGACAGTAAGACCGGGCCATTAGGTCTAAAGGTACGTTTTAACTTGATTTAAAGGATCTTCAAGTTATTGACAACTATATTGATATCACTCCTCTATCAGGTTGGTCGTGCACATACAGGAACAGAACCAATCCAATCAGTGGTCGATCTTCACACGTCCTTTGGCAATGCGGACCGTTTGGGTTACTTGCGACGGGTATTCCTCGTGGAAGCTGGCATTATGACGAATACTAGAGATCCAGAAGCCGGAGACAAATGGCTGGTCTCGATGATGGACTGGTCCAGGTAAGCATACGTAAAACAATATATATATATATATATAGATTCAAGGACTGATACAATTACGTATATATGCAGGAAGGGTCTCATTGTGGTGTCCTCCTCAATTTCTCCCGAAGACGCTCATATATCCTTCCAAACAGGATGGATGGCTGAGCTTTTGGTCGAACCTGACGAGAAATCGACAACCTATACCGGAGGACTCCTCTCTGACGTTACTTATAGGTTTTTTAAGATGGGTTACTTATTAACAACATCGAAATATTGCAAAACCCTCAAGCGCTGGGCACCCGTCCTCTTCACGTGGCTTGGAGGTCTCCAGTCCGAACATTACAAGATTCATTTCAGAAACTTACTACGTCAGATTCAAAAAACCAAATTGTCCGACAAGAACAAAGCAATGATGTCAGAACAAGTTGTAGATTTCTCATTGGCTCAGAAAGTAGGATTTCAAGAGGCTTACATGGAGGTATTCAATTGCCAAGATAAAAATGTTGCACTTTCAAAGCTTCACGGATGCGAATGGCACTTTCTCCAAGCTGTCACGCGCCTCAAGAAGAATAGTAAGATTGTTAAGCCGCAACAAAAGGTATGTGGTCTCGTGTTTCTTTCATTTCCTATAATCCAAACTGACATTTATGGTTTTATTCAAAAGGGCACCTGGGAGAAAAAATGCAAAGCATTACTTCTCCCAGACGGACCTGGAATTGACGATCTCGACACTAGGTTCGAGGAGTTGCGCCGTATGTTCCCTCTAGCCAAGCGGTGGCTAGAATGGTGGGGTACCGCGGATGTTCAAGCAATGCTATTTCCCGCCAGGAAGCGGATGCCTAAAGACTATCCTCCCTTACCACTTGAGATTCATGAAGACGACGAAGAAGAATTTGACAACCCTCGACGCCGTCCAGAACTTCCATCAACTACCAATGGACAGGAATCGATGCATAGGGTTTACTATATCTTGTGGTAAGTAACATGTTTCCTTTTATTTGGTCTATTTTGACCTCACTGATTCATCTTTTCGTATTCAGCAAAGGCAGATGTGCAGTTATCCCTGGTATCATTCAACTCATCGCTTTTGCACAGTGTTTAGAGAAAGATTATCAACAAGTTAAGAAAGGTATTAGCATTACCTACGGTGCAGAGGCTCATAAGACGTGGCAAGAAGTTGTCAAGGCCATTGGAATGGCGCCACCGACAAAACGAAAATATACCCGCAATGACGGACGTGCTCCTGACACCACCGAGGCCCTCATTGGAAAGAACACCAGAAGGATCAAAAAACCTGCCAAACTTGGACGTCCTGTGGGCTCGCAAAACATCAATCGGAACGCACTGACGACGTATCAGTCTTACACCGCTGGAACCACCAAGGGAAACCGGAACCGCTGTTGGCAGACGGCTACACTGGAATGCCTTTATGCTATTTACAGCCCGCTTTGGAGTTGATACTTGACGGTCAACAGCACGAATCTGGTCAATGTACTTGTGCGGCATTTTACCGGTCGATGTAACGTTGAAATAACTGGCGGGAATTTTAGTCAGACTATGACTCGATGGCAAAAGCTTCTGCACGAAGCGGTTCAAGAATTGTCTCCCTCATTCACCTCTGACGTGTTCTCATCAGCTGATGGGTTCATGGAACTGTTACTAGCCAAAGTTGAAGACACCAAATCATCCTTGCGACCTCTCTTTGAACACTCCCGAGTCAAGACTGTGACATGTAGTCGTAATTCAGAACACCAAAGTGTGACTTCTCAACGTCGAGCCATCCTTCAACTGTTGCCTGGGACATTTACGAATGCCTCAATACCTTACTCAGATGTCTCAAGCTTGATATCAATGTGGCTGTCTGAAGGACTAACCACCGAGGGTATTTTGTGCCGTCATTGTCACCCGGACACCAAAGACCAGCAACCCATTGCCAATCCTTCGTATGTGCAGGACAACATCAGGATTGATATTCCAGACGAAGCGTCGGCGCCACTGCATCTTTACTTCTTCTTAGATGGTGTTGCAGGTTTAACTGGGGATGCACGTGAAAGGTACCAGGGTGAGACCAATTGGCCTGCTCGAATTAAATTGAAAGGTGTCGAGTATATGATGGTTTGCAGGGGTTACTGGGCGCATTCTCATTACTGGTGCAGAATTGTCCGTGCGGTTGAAGGAATTTTAGGCGTGTGGCACTATGACGAGCTTTCCAACGGAGGCATAGCTCAGCTCGAAGGTACTGATGTTACCAGCTTGGCAGGTTGTTCACCCGGCACCAGCTGGTTGTTCTACTCACGAATTCCATCGAAGGAAGAAGGAGAAATTATTGCAAAATCTATCCGTGATCTTATCAAGATTTTCCCAAAAAACACCACCACCATTCCATTTTCCATGCCAACACGTAACTTCCCAGTGGGAGGCACCCTTGAACAACACGCTCGACTCTCTGACACCGAGGACCCTGAGGACGACGCTGACGTATCATTGGACACGAAACCAAACCCTCCATCAAATGATGTAGATGTATCTGGTCCTGCAGTTGCTGTCAAGGTCAAGGCACCCGGTGAGTGCACAGATTGTATCCATCATTTTATATAAAACTTCCTAATGCTGATGTTATATATATATTCCACCGGAGAAGCTAAACACAGAGTTGCGAAGAAAGCTGCAGAGGACTCTGAGGAAGTTGTGAAAGCGCCGAGGGTGAAGAGTAACAAATGTAAGTGGAAACCTCTTACTTGGCGTGATTATCATCCTTGACTGATTGGCAACTTTAAAGCTAAACGCAAGCCACCGCAACAAGCTAAGGTCGAACCCAGCACCGGGGGCAAAACCAACACCAGAGGAGTTAAGAGATCACAACGTGGAATTTCCAAAGGTCATTATCTTTTGTGTCTCATTCAAGAAATATGAATCATCCTCATATGTGGTCCCTCCTATGATTTTTTTTGATTAGAATTAGAAGGACCTACGAAAGCCAAATGGAAAGGGTGGGTGGTGGTGGACGATGAGCCCATCAAGGAGGAGATAGTAGGACCTGAGGTTACTGTCAGAGGAAAGCGCCAACGTCGGGTGTGAATGTATTGCTCATTTTTGATTTTGAAGATACCTTCCAGTTTTTTCCCCTTTTTTCCCCTTCTTGCCTTGTTTGTTTCTATTCTCATTCTTTGATAACAGAATCAAATACTTTAGCTTTCCAAGTAATGAAGGGCAAAGGGAATGTCATTTTCACCTCAATTTGGGAGGTCGGTGTGAAAATATTTTTGACATGGTGTAAAATTGGACTTTGACTGTGTCGAAATCAAATTTTACACTGGGCATTTTTACACTGGATTCCTCTGTGTAATTACTTCCAGTGTAAAATTGAATCTCCAGTCAAGATTCTGGACTTTTACACAGACACTTTTACACCACAAATTACGGTGTGAAATATCTCTGTGTAAAATTGCATGTTACGCTGGGGTCCTGCGTTTTTACACCGGAGTTTTTGCACCAGGGTTTTTTGCACAGACCAAAAAAAAAAAAGAAAGTACAAAATTCGAAAATAGGGCCCTCTTTTTGAATTTTACACCGGGTGGACTTTACACCGACCACCCCGGTGTAAAGTGCCCGGTGTAAAATTCCACCTCCCCGTTTTAAATTTTTAGTATAAGGTGTAATGATAAGGTGGTCCTCTTCAGTTATTCACCGACTGGTGTCTTTATATGGGAACCATCGCTTCTTTGTTAGACTGGTTCAAGATGGTCTGCTGCGTTATTCTAACCTAGCCTGGTCGTGAGCTTTTGGTCGTAGGGGGCTGTTCTCGTTTCTGAAGCCTGGTCAGGGTCTTTTGATAAATGAAAAGGTACCCTTGATACGTCATGCTTCAGAAACTTTGATAAGTTTTAATTTAGATAAAAAACACTTTGGTTCTTGACTTAAGATGTTTTTAGTTTTAATTGTTTTTTATAATGATTACACTCTTGAAACTAGAGTGAGAGAGATGTAATTTTATTTATTTATTGTGACTGCTCATGAGGCTTTTTGCTCTGCAAAAAGCCTTCTGGCTGACACTCACCGGGGTCAAAAAAAGAAAAATGTTTATATATTTTTCTTTTCAACTCTGTATCTTTGCAGAACTTGTTGTGCATTAGCAATCTTGTCCTCTGGTAGCCACTTGTCACAGTCTGCTGGTTTGCCTTTATATCTTACAAGGTACAATCTTGTATCTTTTCCGGAGATTTTGACTCTTTTTTGTTCTAAGACTTTGTGTACTACTTTAGGAGTGTTGTCGTCAAAAGGAATAGTTTCTTCTGATAATTGTCTATTTGGAAATTTTTCTTTATCTGATTCTTTGAAATGTTTTAAAAGTGAGACGGGAAATGTAGGGTGTTTTCTAGCAAATTCTCCCGTCAGAATGACCTCTACAGCATTCTTGCCATGCAATTTGACTACTGTAAATGGTCCCACAAATGAATCCTTTAGTTTCCTCGGTCCTTGTATATTGTTGAAATTAATGGTGGATATCAAAACTTTGTCTCCAATTTCGAATTCAGGCTCTTTATGGGTTCTGTCCCATCTATCTTTGTTGTATTTGACTGATTGGTCTATACAATTTTTTGCATAATCTCTAGCTCTGGAAAGCATGTCATGAAAGCTAAGTGATGTTGGATGAACCTGGATGCTTTTGTCTTTGATCATGTCCTTCGGGGTACGTGGATTATAGCCTCTCTCCAGCTCAAACGGAGTTTTTCCGGTTGTGCTGTGTAGACTAGTGTTGTATGCTAGTTCTAGCGCTGGGAGGAGCGTTTTCCAGTCGTGAGTATATCCTTCTTTATCTTTGAATGATAGACCAAAGGCACAGTATCGTCTAAGCATGTCTTCTAGACTTTGTATCATACGTTCTGCTAAACCATCAGTTTGCGGGTGATAAGATGTGGACATTGCTAGAGAGGTCCCCATTAATTTCGTGAGACCTTTCCAGAATTCTGACGTGAATTTTGGATCACGGTCGCTTATGATTACTCTAGGTAATCCGCAATCGGTGATAATACTTTGCCAAAAAAGCAATGCTGTACTCATTGCGTCAATGTCTTTGTGGCACGGTATGAATCTGGTTCTCCGGGAAAATCTATCTACTACAACGAGAACACTATTAACGTTGTCATGTCCCGCCGGAGGTAATGCTGTTACGAAATCCATGTTTATTACTTCCCATGGAAATGTCGGCTCTTCAATACGTTGTAGTAGACCGAACCTTTTCCCTGTTTGTCGGTTTGCTTTTTGGCATCTTTCGCATGATTCCACGTAGGTTTGTACGTCTTTACGCCATTCTGGCCACCATGCTGTGGAACTCATACGTTTGATTACTCTATCTTCGCTGAGATGTCCTGACATGAAGTCGTTGTGGCATACAGCAATAAGTTTTTCTATATCTTCTTTATCGCATACTACGAGTGCGTTTGTATGCTTCTCTTTATGATACAGCAAGCCTGATATTAGAGAAAATTTCCCGCTCTGAAAGGGTTCTTTCCATTCTGCGTCTAGGGTGCTTTCTAAAGATGGATCCTTGTGTTCTAACCCAAAAATTTTCAACAGTAATACTGTGTTTGGGTTAGAAGAATAGCTAGCTTCTATTTTTGCAAAAAATTCGTCTGAGAGTTTGCACAGACTAATGCCCATCAGTGGAACATCTCTGTCTGCGTCCTCGTCTTCCCAGGCAGGGTTATTATCGTCGTTGGGCATGGCCATTCTACTCAGTGTGTCTGCGTTTGAATGTAATATGCCTGGTCTATGGGTAATGGTCATGTACGCTTTGTATTCTTGTATGGCCATTTGCCACCTGAGCATATGCCTTGTGGGGGTCTTTGTATTTAATAAAGATTTTATCGCTTGACAGTCTGTTATGACTTCAAAATAGATACCATCTAAATAATAGTGTAGTTTATTTAGTGCCCATACTAAAGCCAAGCATTCTAATTGAGGTGCGCCGTACCTTTTTTCACTTTATTTTAGCTGTCGGGAAATAAAACAAACTGGTCCGTTAACCAATTTGTCTTTAATAATTTGTTTTTGGTGCAGCGCTGCTCCCAATCCTAAAAAACTGGCATCAACGTACAGTATAAATGGCTTATTGAAGTCTGGTTGCAGTAAGCATGGTGCGGTGGTTAGAAGCTTTTTCACTTCCTCCCATGCTGTGGCTCTTTCTTCATTTATGCAGAAGTCTACTTTCTTCTTTAACAGGTGGTACAGCGAAAAGGTAACTTTAGAGTAGTTTTCTAAGTACATTCTGTAATAACTGGCGAAACCAAGGAATTTTTGTATGTCTTTAATGTTTTGGGGCAATGGACGGTGCAACACAGCGGCAACCTTATTTTGATCAATTGCGAGGGTAAGGCCCGAGACGATGTGCCCTAAAGCTCGCACTTCATGAAACCCAAACTTGCATTTATCTAGCAAGACGGTTGCTCCAAGTCTTTCTAATTTGGTCATTATCGAAGTTACTGATCTTATATGGTCATCCCATGATTCATGGAAGATAATAATATCATCAATGTACACTATGACATGTCCTTCCCTAAGTTCTTCATAGAATTCCGTATCCATCATTTTTTGGAAAAAAGCCGGGGCGTTTTTTATCCCAAAGGGCATTCTTTGGTACTCAAAAATTCCCAAGTGTGAGATGATCCGGAGAAATTTTCTGCTACCTTCTGCTACTATGTTCTGGTGAAAACCTTTCATCAAGTCCATAGTAGTGATATACAGTGATTTTCCTAAGTTTGTGATTACTTGTTCAATTCGTGGCATAGGATACCTGTCTGGTACAGTGTACGCGTTAAGTGCTCGAAAGTCGCCGCAGACTCGTGATTTCCCCCCATGCCATGCTACGACGCAGGGGGTGGTGATTTCCACATCCTTGTTCTGCTGAACTATTCGAATTATTCCCATTTTTAAGAGCTCAGTTGTGTGGGTTTCTAGCTCTGCGCGGTTCCTAGGACTTGCAGGGTATGCCGCTTTTTGTAGAATCGGCGGGTAGGGTTTATCTACTGACAATTGAATCTCAACTTCATACTTCCTTATGGTACCTATTTTATTCTTTCCTAAACCAAACGCATTATAGTATTTCTCAACCAATCGGTGGAATAGTGCTGATTGTTCATTAGTTAGATTTTCTCCAGTTATGATACGTTTCCTGGTTTCCGCTGTCAGCTTATAATGATAATCTTCTTGAGGTTGAGATATATCTAAGATTCGTTTATCTTGTATTAGGGCGAATTTTTTGCGTTTGTTATCATTGCCAATAGTAAAATATTTTTCTCTAGTGTGGATGATGTCTATGCCGTATAGTGACAAGAATTTGTCTCCTAGGATAAAATATCTGGGTGTCGCATTTTCCATGACCACAAATTCTGGTGTGATTCTGACTGATCCTTTGGTATGAGGGAAAATTAGAGGAACTTCGATGATTCCTACTGCTTTTAGCACTTCTCCACAACCTCTGAATGTCGTTCTGCTTTTCGGCAACATTCTTTCACGCCAGTCTGGTATGATTGTCGCAAGGAATTTCTCTCCTACTGCTGAGCAAGAAGCGCCACTATCTAGTAAGCAGTTAACTTCTTTGCCTTCCGCAATTACAGTGGTTAAACTATGCTGTCCCGTCATGTGTGCTTTTCCTGCAGCTGGTCGAGTCTTTAGTTGCCTGGCATCACTAACTTGTTTAATGGTTAAACCTGCGTGCCACTGTTGTGGAATCTCTGCTACAGCTTGCAAATGTGAGATGTCTATCTCATCAACGCACGACTCTATTGCTCGTACTACGCTAGATTCCACATTCCTGCCTATAACTTTTTTCTCATGGATTGGTAGGAACACTGTCTCAAAGTCTTTGATATATAGCTCAAGGTTATTACGGTAGGATATACTCATGCCATATGTATTCATCATGTCAGCTCCTATGATGACCTCGATTGTTGGGGCATCTAGGATAATTACAAAGTCAATCATCAGGACACAAGGATGTACTGCATGTAAGAAGGTAATAGGAATAGTTATTTCTCCTATCGCTGTTAAATTGCCTGAGGCACTGAGGTACCTTTGATTTTGATGTGGTCGCATATCTTCTTTCCATGTTTTCCAGACTATGTCTAGGATCCTCGGGGATATTAGCGAACTACATGCTCCCGTGTCTATTAGTATACTTAGCTTCCAACCGTTACACATAGTTGTCATAAATGGGCTCCCCAAATGCAAGTCAACCGTTCGTCTCTCAACAAACTTCGGCGCTATCTGAGGAGTGGTTTCTAGGCAAGAAATATCTAGAATGGTGAACGATTCTTCTTGCACTGCACGGTATTCTCCATCGTCGTAGAAGGAGTCATGATCGTCTCCAAACAAGACTTCAATTTCTTCTCCCGTAAGTGAGTCTTCCTCAAGCGGATCTATTTCTACGTTGTTGATCACTTTGTTTTTACGCCTGCATGCTCTGTAATCATGGCCTGCTTCTGTGCTACCGCACGTGTCGCATTTGCCTGGCACTCTTATAGCAGGTGTTTTCGCCACTACTGGTTTAGACTGTTGATTGCTGCCACTGGTGGCCTGCGTCTTCCAGTCTTGGGCATTTTTATTCATCAGCCTTTGTCTACCAATAGATGTCCTTTTCACTACTTCTTCGAAAGTAGTGGTGAAGCTGACGAAATCTTCATCTCCACTCATCCTGCTACGCACCGCGTGGTCTAGATCCCCTGTGCACTGTTCTAAGACTTTATCTATGACGTCTTGTCTTGTGGTACTGGGTTGTGCGGCTTCTAAACGCTTTTTCTGAGTGACTAGCCATTTTACAGGATCCGTGTTAATTCGCGGATTGAAATGATCATTATCAAATGCGGTCTGCATCGTCCGTCTCCAATTCCTTGATCCGAATTTAGATATGATAGCAGCTTTCCATTCTGCCCAACTAAGTACGCCCTCTTTCCTTAATTCAAGGAACCATACTTGTGCTAATCCAGTGAATGCTAACCCCATCCTTGAGGTAATCAGCGCATCAGGGACATGCATCGTTTCTTTGATATGATCTACCCACTCAATGAATTCCATGTGATTGTATTCGCCCTCGCCGCTGAATGCCGGCCAGTCTTTACTATTAGGGACGTCTTTCTTCAATAGATTGAATAACGTGAGGTCTGATTCTGGAGAACCTTCCATTCTAGTTGAAGTGTCACGGCCCTTTCCTTTGTTCATTTTCTGGTCATAGGGTGTATGTATTTCTTCTTCTTTGTCATAGACTTTCATATCAAAATTTTCGGCTGCGTCTGAGTTTTGCTTTTGCTGGATACCAAGAGGTTCGGGAGGAGCTCTGTGATCAATAGATCTAACAGATGCTTCCCTTTTGCTGTTCACCATGTGGGGAGGAATCTCATGTTTGAATTCAGGTGGGGCTAACGTCGTTGTCTTCTCTTTTGACTCATTATTTTTCAAACGATCTAACGTGAAGTCAGACAACAACTTGATTATTTCATCGTTATGTGATTTTAACAACGTGAGTTCTTCATTATGGTGGAGCATTGAGGCTTGCAGTTGTCTCATCACGCCTTGTAGATTTGATATCTGATCTGAGGCTTTCTTCATGTAATAATCTTCGCTGGATTTTGACTGTATAGCTTCCCCTGCAGGGTTTTTGGCTAATGTGATGTCTTTTACTGATTGAAGTATACTGTTAGTCAACTTAGTTTGTTCTATGAGACCATTTTTATTGCTTTCTACTATCTGGTTTCGTGTCGTACTCAAACCTTTATCGACTGTTTCCAAAGCTTGCCTGGACCATTTTCCCAGGTCACTCTGGACTAATATCATGTAATCACCACATTTCTTAACAACAGATCCTACCTGATTCAAGGTTCGTACCTGATCATTGATGTTTTTTACAAGATGTTGGAGAGTTTTATCAACTACCTCCAACTTCTTAGGTACTTCATTAGTGTGAACGAGTGACTTTATGGTTTGTATTTCATGTGTTAAGTTCTCAACTTGTTGAAACAGGGGATCAAGGTACAATTTGAGATGATGAAAAACAGGATTTATGAGCTCTCTATCTAAAGGAAGGACAGTCTTCTCTAGTTCCGCACTGCTTTCCCGGCTTCCCTGATCATCTGAATAATCAATTCCCCGTTTGACGAACGTTGCGGGTATTGGGCTTGGTTCTTCCGAGGGTAAGGAGTGGAGGCGGTGTCTTTCCGTCCCCTGGCTTTTTTCTCGAAAGTGTTCCAATCCCAAAGTGCTGGGTTCCATTGATTCGTGCGATCCATGAGATATTGGAATCCCATCAATTTCGAGAGCTGACGATGGAAAACCTTCCCTTTCTGAGTTGCTTTCTTGAAAGTCTTTGAGTCTTGTCGATTTTTTGCTTCCTCCCAGATTTTCCAATTCGCTTCGTGCATCAGAAGGAGGTCTGTCTCTTCTGGTGTCAATGTGCGTCTTGGCCCTTCTGGAGGTGGTGGTGGAGGAGCTCTGCTTCCTGCTGACTGAAATGGGTGATTCGCTTCGTCGATCATCATCGCCGAGTGCCTTTGTTGATCCTGCAACGCTGGGTGCTCTCGAGGAGCTGCTTCTGGTGGTCGGAGCCATAGGAAATTGAAAAAGGTTTTTAGTTTTTTAAAACTGACTTTGTCTAACAGAAAAATACGGGGTTGTCTCTGGGAATAAAAATCGAACTGACTCGGTTTGTACTGGTGTTGGGTCACTGCGCTAACTCGTGCAAACGAGTTGTTAAAGGCGTTTTCGGAAACTCCGACTACCGGTACGTTTGTCTTGGTTTGCGCTGAGCTAGCAACGAACAGTGGTCTGTTATTGTCGCTTTTCAAAGAGCTTGCCGTGTTAAGCTTCAAAGGTGCTGGTTTTGCAAAGTGATTGGTTCTAGTGCCAGTAGTCGGGGCAGTCGCTGGTGCAAGCGATAGATTTCCGATTTCTGGATTTGGGGTTACATTATTCACTTAATATGCCCGCGGAAAATAACAAAAGAAAACTTGTTTCAATACTTTGACGTTTTTATCAAAAAATAAAGGAAAAAGAATTTTTCTCGTACTTTCAGCTTCTTCGTAATCGATCAAATCTTCTCCACTGGGATTGTAAGGAACTTGGCTAACTAAGTCAATATTCACTGAAAGGGAGAAAACAGAAGTTCTTAGCTTTAGTGATCGGTTTGCTTCTTAGAAGTGTGTTCAGAGAGTTTTCTGCTGCACGGACCAGGCTAGTTATCGATGACTCTCTTCCCGCCTTTT